ACTCTGAACTCTGTTCCTCCGAAAGGTTGCGGTTCTGACAACTGGATCTATTGGGGTTTATAAACTAATACAGAGTGTTTGTATTTATGTATTATACAGTTGATGACAGCAGTGGTTAATGATGTCATAGGGCGCAGCCCATGTGACCAGCTCCACTGCATGAGAGACTTTGTATCTAAAATAAAGAAAAGTAGTGTGGCACAGGAAAGTGGAAGTCTGAACAGAAGGATAGTGCCCTGCAGTACAAGTTTGTGAGAGCTCTTGAAGAAAAAAGTTAAAGCGGAGAATGGAAGTAAAAGGTCCAAAAATTGTGTATTGTAACACCATACACCCTGTAGTAAAAACTATGGCCTGAGCCATTGTCACTGTTGTGGAAGGATTATGAAGGAGAAACAGTGGAAAGAAACGGAATAATTGCTTTATGGAGCATACCAAGGCAAACTTACAATAATAAATAGCATATTTTCAAGGAAATTCTGCCAATGCCAAAAGATATTTGACAGACATTGGGGCTTTTGAACCTGCAGCTCAGGTTGAAGTGATTGGCATCGGTGGTGATCATATGGATGCAGTTCAGTTCAACTTGAGTTGGAAGTTGTGCATTCAAGGTCACAGCCTACTATGGTCATATGTGTTATGACTCCTTTAGACTGAGCTCTCTGGCATAACCCATGCACATGAAAGAGCGCGGGTCTTAGTTTGCCACATTATGCACAAGTTGCAAATATACTCTGCATAGCGATCCAAGTGATACATCACTACAGAATCTTGAACTAGGTTGCTAACGTCAGTTGGCTGTCTGTGAAAATAAAAGTTGAATCTTTACTGAATGCTTTGCGGGCCTCATTGAGATATTTCCACTCCTCTGTCACCCACTGTTGCATCAAACACCTTTCCTCCATCAAACATTTCTGCTCCTCTTCGCATTGGTCAAGCTCCAACATGGCTTGAATACCTTTCTGGACGTCATTGTCTATGAGGAAGAGAGGTGCTTCATCCCCCGGTTCATCATTCAGGCCAGTGTCTTGCCAAATATCATCGTCCACATCGGGTTTAAAGAGGCCTTCACAAAAGATAGACTGGGGGGGACTACATTGCGAGGAGCCTTTTTCTGTTGAATAAGCGCCTTCGGTTGATCACAAAGTCGATTATAGGTGCTTGTGAGTTTGACAATGCCAGGCTCTTGTCTTTTCACAGATGCTTTGATTTTTCCGGGAAGCTTGCAGCCTGGTAACACAGTATCACATATTGAACTACCTAAGAAGATAAAATGTGACACTTACAGCTTACTGTCCGTCTATAAGATTTCTCTAACCTCTTCAATTCAAATTTTGGCCCTCACAAACACTCTCTGATGCAGTGTTTTAACGTGAGCACGTTCATGCAAAGCTGTAAATAGGTATTTTTCTTCAAACTTTCTAATTTAGCTCAATCTTCAACTCGTAGTAGTGCCTTCTTTTGAGAGATACTATCCTCTAACTGAGAGCACTTTGCACAATGCTCTGAAATGTTTGTCTCTAGTTCCACAATGTGAATGCCTTGATCACCCAAAAGTTCTGCTTCCAGGTCTTGCAAATCTTGGCGGCGTATATCAAGCATTTTCAGCAAAGATAGGATCAATTGTCTGATTGCCTTGACTAGGAGTGCGACCTAAATATTATAATTTCAGAGGCTAAACAGCCACAAAAAGATCAGGTACATATGTATCGGTGGTTTAGTTTGTGTTAAAATTTGATGGTTCTACTGGTCCCGCAGAATGGCCTTGTCGGTAGATAAGTTTTGAAGAGCCATCTCGGCTGCATTGTTTTTTTGCTGACATTGCAACCATTTCCGAGATAGCCACTGACCAAGTGCAAGCAGCAATTATTTGCTCAGGAACTTGGACAAATAGGCGCTGATGATACTATGGATGAAATCAGTGACACCCTGTGTTGGATGCTATAAGTACACTTACACTAGACACCCTCAATGAGGGTATTAAATTTCAGATGGAGCTCCAGAATCATTCACAGCCTTCACCATCTGTGAGTCCAAACCCTATGCACTTTTGTGGATGATAAATAATCTGACAAGGCCATTGGTGGCCATAAGTGTGGAATACCAATAGAGCAAAAGAGATACATTGAAGGTTGCGTCCCAGAAAATTCCGCTTGATGCAAGATCAATGAAGCTGACACGCAATATCATAAAGTACACCAATCTTCCTGGACTGTGGGAGGTTGTTGAGCAATTTTTTCAGGAGGGCGAGCGCATAATGTTGTTTTTCTCCTGCCAAGGTCATATTTGCGAGCCAAGTACATGATCGTGCCTGCAAAAAAGAGCCCAGTATTTGCAAAAAAAATTTAACTGGCTTTCTCTCGCTTCTCATCAGCAGCAAGAAACGATTCCCTACATCCATCCAGCACCGATTTTGGAACCGCCATGCCTTGCTCATATCCGTCTATTGCAGATGGGCCCGGACAGTGTTCTCTACAAGTTGTCTCTACTTGATAACCTTCTCAGCAATGGGCTACGTAATCCTCCATCTTCGTCACTTCGCCTTGTGACAAGAACAGAGATTCACACATTTTAAAGCTGCCTTGAGTGTGAGTATTGTTTACATTGCGCCCACGTTTCTAAGTAAAGCAAGCATCCAAACACACCATACAGTCAGGGCTCAAAGAAAAATTAGTGTGACAGTAGAGTAAGAGATAAGAGACTTACAATCCCTCACTCGGAGTTGGCCTTGTGCCAAAGCAGAGGGGGCAACGCTGGCGTAAATATTTACTTGGCGCATCTCCACTCGAGGGCTGATTTGTGGCAGCTTGAGCTTCTTTGATTCTCTCTTGGATATATTGTTTACTTGACCTTACAAGTATGGTATACCAGTGCAGGGCATTGCCAAATCAACGCCACAGGCTCCCCTGTCAGGTGATTGCACTCAGTTTCAAATAGAAAATCAAACCCCAATGATCAACATACCTTAGCAGATAGCTGGTACCCTCTTTTTCTTAAAAAGAATTGAGAGTGTTGCTTAGGGCTGTCACATCCGGTGGAGTTTGCGCAAACAACACCCTTACAAACTCGAGTAGTCGAATATCGACGCCAAGTGTGGGAGCCACAGGGGAACAGGGAAATATGCCTCTATGAAGGAGCTGCAATGCAGTAGGTTGGCATTTGCACCACAAAATATTGATGCCTTCTATACCTGGCCACCAGTCAGCAAATGTACAACCGCTTAGACAATAGTTTATTCACTGAAAAATGAAACAGAAGTGACCGTTAGTTTTTTCCTGAGCCCACAAGCACAGCCAGTATTCTCGCTTGGATCATTGAAAGTAGGAGCATTACAAAGACAGCAAGTTTGAGATAGTAGCACTAAATACGGCCTGGTGAGGGAGGGTATAACATTGTCTCTCCACCTTTTCCATTGAGTATTGGACTTCGAGAACTCTCTCACTCGCCATGCCTCAGGATCTGTTGTGACATGCAGAGTGTTGTTCAGTCCATTCTCTGAAACATGGTCGCATCGTGGTGAACCGTGCTGGGCCTCTTGATTTGGTAGGAAGCTATTAGAATGGCTATCTCCCTCGGTAGATAATGTTTGAGTGAAATAATGGCGCCTTGGGAGTGTCACAAGGGGCTTGGGTCCAGGTAAATATATATTCTTAGTGCCTTGACCGCAACACTTGAGAAGGGGCATGTGTGGTTTAATTGAAACTGTTGTCTGGTTGTGGCTGTTCCCCAAAGTATCATGGGCAAGTAAAAAAGAATTGGATTGTTTGGCCTTACGAGTATATGTTCGAGGTCGACAAAAAGACATCAGAAAAAGTCTGGAAAGTTAGTTGCCACTAGTCATTAGTGACTAGTGAAAATCTAATTTTGAAATTATCTCACGGAAATTGTCACGTTTTTGAACATTCAACTTGAAGTCCCATCAGAATCTTCATCCATTTTTTAGCCTACCCACTTAGGCCAATTTCTCGAGCCCAAGTCCATATTTGTGAATAACTTGAAGTACTATACATATATCAATATGTATATTATGAAACCAATTTCTCTCAAGATGTCAATATTGTGGGCTGTACAAAAAAAGTCACACATCAACTTCTGCAACCTACTCATGCGGACAGAGGGAAAAATGCTCGAATCCAGATTGTAATCTGGAAAATGTATAATAGTTTACAATAGTATTAATATGCTATAGGTTATGGACTGTTTGATGCAACTGAACAAATATTTCTCTGTGCTAGCGATGAGGCATTGATGAGGCTTTGTTCAAATTGAATTCATGGAGATTGGTATGGCTAAAGTTTGCCGTGCCATTTCCATGACTCACTGGCACACAGATTCAAGTTGCCATCCAGCTTGTATAGAAAGAGAATCAGAAAACAATGTTTGTAGGACTCTCTTTAATTTCCTGATAGAACTGAGCATCTGTCAGAGGTGTGAAATGAGACCAGTACAATGGCCAAACATAATCTAATCAGACTAGACAGATGTCCGGCGGAATAGACATGTACAGCCTACCACCAAAAGAGTGGTACAGCCCGCTGCAAAGTCTTACATAATAAAATGTGTGTGAAAATGACAACAGCAATGACGTGCTGAGCATACCATCCCTACAAACCACATAAGAAAATAAAGCACCACACCATAGAATATGGTCTCATTGGACTGTTCCACCTATGGCTCATATGGTTGGAGGGTACTATATTATTCAATAGGTGCTGTATATACTTTTTGTAGTTGAAAACATGCAAAGCAACACAGTTGGCATATTACAACTGTCTGGTTCCATATGGAGAGAATACAGTTTGGTCTGTGTCAACCATATGATGAAGGATAGTTGTGGTGGGCCATCTGAAATGGTGGTGGTATGGATGGTATAAATTATGTCTTGTCATATAGTTATTAGGAAACATACAACAAGCATATAATTCAGTATGTGTACACCATATAAGCAAAGATCTTACTGTGGACCATATCAAACATTTGTGGTATGTACTGTATGAACCATCATGGGCCATATGGTTGTGGGATACTGTTTGGAGAATCATTGTTTGGTTCACATCAACCATATGAGCCTGGATGGTGTCATTGGACCATATCAGACATTTGTAGTAAGGATTGTAAGAACCATAATAGACAGCATGGTACATTTGGTTTGTCTGTGGTATCAGGGCATATGATTTGGAGGTACTATTTTTTACATGGTGTAGTATTAATGACTAGTTTTCTTTTTTGGACATCTAAGCTTTTTAGCTATCAGTACCTATCATCTGACAAATTTTGAGTCTGTTCCATATAGATAAGAAGACTTTTGTACACAAAACTGCACGGTCTTGTGACATGTAGCTGACAGATTTACAGATTTTTTTGATTGCACTGTTCCCACACTCGGCTACACTGGAATTTATGTGCCCAGAATACATTGGTGCCATGCACCATGCAGTGTGTGTTTCAGAGCCTCAAGTACTATCAAGCGCTTCCAGGGTACACTGTATACGGCTGGCTTATGGGACACAAGGACATCTACGTCACACAGGTGAGTCTGGCTTTACAAATGACAAGGATTCCGACAACTTCTGAATGGAACAATACTGTATTACACTGAGCAGAGATAGCTCTGTTTACATTATCAGATTAATGATTGAAGTGATCGCCATTGTCAGGGACCTTGAGAGTCAGTGCCTCAAGTAGATCAACCAAGCACTTTATGGGATCACCGTGTATTAGGATTCTGAAAAGCACCATGATGCTGAGGTGAGGTTTGGTTGACCAGCCTGTTTGAAAGGCTTTCAAGTTCTGACCGTAATGTGCATTGTTAGGGTCAGGATAGCATCAAACACCTGAATCAATGGACTGACAAAGAAATCTGGTCCTCACATAGCTGGTCCAGGGAGGTCTCAATTGAGCAGAATTGTCTTGACCTTGACATCACATCCTACATAAGATGGTATGCAGGTTGTGAATTAGCAGCCATCAATTGCATGATTGATTCAATTGACGGAGTGGTTGTGGTCATTGTATAACTTGTGCTGGGAGATCTTAATTCAGCATAATAATTTTTCTCTCAACTAGATGGTGCACATGGCAGTCCACTGGCCATTAATTAGTAATGTATGAATGTTGATCACACTTTTGCCATTTGAGTTGCCTGGAGCAAAGACTGTTTGCCTTGCACAGATGCCGACGTGCATTGCAGTGGTGTTCCGTCCGTTGGGGGGGGCGGGGGGGCACACTATCATTGCTGACCAGTTCTTGTGTTTTAAAGGTAGTAGTGTTACTATATATATGAGCCTATTCTGAAGGTCTTCAACTGTATTATTTCACCTCCACAGTGCACTGGCCACAGCAGCAATTGTTTGTTTCTTCATATGTTGTCCGATCCTTTTAGTTCAGCAAGTAGCAACCAAAAAGACTCAAACTTTGACAACCGCAGTGCCATAGCCGTTGAAGCCAGGGCAAAGCAATGTATAGCTGCTTTGGAAGATGACATTGAGGCATTAAAGTCCCTTAGAGGATAGCCACAAGCAAAACAAAGATTGTATGTTCTATTATTTTTATTACCATGGTACCCATAAGCTTGAACCAATATCAACTTGCTGTTGCACAGGGAGAGTGCTGTGCTGATCAATTGAGCCTGTGCCATTTGCCGCCTTGTTGCTATGTATGACAGCCCTTGTGGAGAGCAATCAATGTCTGATTGCCAAAGCTGAGTCCCAGCTCTCAGGAGAAACTTTAGAACACACCCCAGCGTATGTATTCAATTTTCTTGATTTTGTTCTACTCATGTGGCTTTCTGTATCAGCCAATATCATCTTTATAGGGCCATTCAAAAGCTGACCATTTACCCTCCATTCCTGAAGAAGTGCTTGGTCAAAACAGATCCTCAAGATCTCCAGACTTTGTATGCTCTGTGAAGTGGCTATTGTTACTCAACTCACCTTGGTCTAGCTATGTAAGGGCACAGATGCTGCTCACAGTGACAATGCCAGCAGCCTCAAACGTGAAAATGTGTACTGGCTTACAGCTGCTTACCACCCACTAAATCTTCCTCTCAGTAATTAATACAAAAGATGATCATGGCTTTGAACATCATGTCACTGATGGGCTCTTATGTTCAATAGATTATGTATGACTGGGACAATGAGATGTAAGTAAGATTCTCCTTATAAACAATATTATAGCAATCTGTAACTTACTTGGACTGAGTTAGTGTCATGAAAAATATAAGAGAAAACCATCCAGATTATCTTGTGACAACATTTTCTTGGCCATCATTCCTCTATGACACAAGGAATGGTTTCCAGTACGATGCGGGCAATGTAGAAGTGGGCCTAACTTGCTCTGCTTTACTCATCAAGGTATTTACATAATGAATCAATCTTCTCCATAAAATAATACTACCTTGCAACAGGCTTTCAAATTTATCTTTACGTCCCCATCTTCAGTCCACAAAATCAAAACCTGTGAACCCCCCTGGTCATAAATGCAAAACTCAAGGAGACAGGTCCACAAAAAGTCATGTAGCAAACTTACTCAAGATGAAGTCTGTTAAACCACGTGCTATTGCATACACAGTGGTTCAGGTTAGAGACCCGCCTGTTTCTTCAAATCAAGTTCATGCTTCTGTTTTTTTAGCTTCGGTATGCTTTATCTCACCTAAATACCAGGCGTACTATTGATGGGGACTTTGACTACAAAGATTGATATAGCAACATTGTGAAATTTTTTGAAGCCCCACCTGGACCAGTAAATCAAGCTAAGGTCAATGAAATGCTTTTGTGGTGGAATCAGTGAGTAATGTGGGTATTGTCTATCAAACATGAGTTATTTACCACTTAACAGGCGAGTATTTGGGCATGACCGTAAAATTGCTGCTCCTGCAGAGTTACACAAGAATATGTCAGTCTCCCGTTTAGCCAAGCAGTATTTGGCACAAGAGCAAATGGGTGATCAGTATCGGCAACAGTCATTTACAGAGATTTAATGAGAAGCTAGTTAGTTGTAATCTACTATTTCTTGTGCCACCAAGTGCTATGAATAAATAACATATGTCTGAATCCCATGCAATTGAAAATTAATATAGAAGATAATCTTGGCCAGCATATTTTTGTACAACATTAGTAGCAATATAAACCCCACTGCTATTAAATATAAGATAATGACAAGATTACGAGTCATAGCAATAGGCAGCCAAGTTTCTGAGAACTTGCTGATGGTTGGCAGCTTTGGAACCCTATGTATGACCTTATAGTAAAGCAGAATATCTATACCGGAAAATATTTGTATCAAGAAAATGTGTAGGATTGCGGAGACCAAGCTAATTCAGGAGCCTTGAAATTATTGTCACAATATGTGTCTATAGCTTGTAAATACCTGTATGATAGAATATAGTTTACATTAGTATAGGAAAAGCAGCTATGTTTGCAGTAGTAGATACTGAATAGGATATATGCTTCTGCTTTAGAGCTCATTGTAGTGGAAGCGATTAATCTCTGAGGGATACAACCTGACACTAGATGTTTGTCATTTTACATGCCAGTCTAAGGTGGATTTTGGCCTGCATATAAATTATAAATTACATCATTTATTGCATGATAAGGTTCTTCAAAATATAGTCAATAATTCCCTTGCAGACAGCTTCCTTCTCTAGCAATCTTTGTGTGAGGCCGAAAGAGTGGCACATAGAAGCATAAACATGCCCATTGGACCACAGTTTAACAATCATTACATAGATTGTGTATGGACCTAAATTCCTTTTTTCTCCCTCCCAAATGGAACAATTGTGGTGACCTTGTATAATGTGTTACAGTTGCTTACAATATTTGTACTTTACAACCAGTTTCCACAGAAAATACTGTAAATGGCAACTGTTGTCCCTTTATATGATTATATGTTCAATTAGAGTAGTCTATGTAATTATTATTGATGTTATGGTTATTGCTTATATTATAACTTGGTTACATGCCAATTTCATCATTTTTTAACTCATTGATAAAAGTGGTTGATTCCCTTATGGTGGTCTATCAGCATACAGATACTTGCATTGGATGCTAGCATTCAGGAAATTGATGAAGTGATCACATATTTTCTTAGTCTCGAACACAGAGCTAGCACTCCGCACTAGCGTCTGGAAACATTTGATACAGGCTGAGTGCATCAAGTTACACTTGTTAGCCAGGCACCCTTGTAACATAATAATAATAGAACTATTATCTTATCTCTTGCCATGATTGACTGTGAGATTGATCATACTGCCAGTTTAACAACAAAGTCAATCCATTTGCACCTTTAGCACAGAGTAGGAAACATGTATTTTCCAATCCTACTAACACAAAATCTGGCAGTGACTCTGAGGACCCTCCCCAGCTCCCAATTCAAGTGCAATATACTGCATCCCTCAAGATTCAGCTCCACAACAGTCCTGTCCTTAAAATCTGAGCCATTCTCAAATACATGTCATCTCTCAGCCTCAACCTCCCTTTGTTCCTTGATTATGTGAGCTGGGGAGATCATGAGTGTACCACTAATCCCAAAATTTGCTATGAAAGGACAAACCTCATGGTCAGCAAGGAATTACCTGAGATTCTCAAACATTGGTCCAAGCCACTGTACGCACAAGTAACCCACAATGCATGGGCAAGTAGAGCCAAGGTAGTCCTCGAGAAGTTTTCATTTGGTTGCATAGGAGAGCCTCTTCTTTGGAAACCTTGTCCTCAAGCTTCAAACACCCAGGTTTGATGATGGAAATACTATGGGCACTTCTACAGCATTGAACAAGGACCAAGTTACAGGAAAAAAGGAATACAAAGCAGAGCTCTGACCTTGTTGAGTAACAGAACTGTACTTTTCTCATGTTTACCCATAATATGCATGTTATGATTTCCATAATCTTTCAAATCATGTTCTCTCATTCACACCACCATAAACAATGGCCCAAGCTGATCATCATATTCCTTCACTCACAAGGGATATCTGCCAAAAGCCTCAATCTCCTTTGCACTCTGTATATAACCATTAGTCACTAGTGGACCACCCGCACATTCAAAGCTATTTGTACAAACCAGATGGCAAAAGTATGCAAGCAAATCCAGCAAATGCCATTTGTCCTATCACATGACAACCTTAACATCCTCTTCTGAGTATATTCACAGTGAGTGGATAATCACAGTCATTTTAACAGTGGTATGGCTGCCACAGTTTTCTTCCTGCCCAATGCGCCACCCATCAAGCCTCTGTGCAACCGTAGTTTTCAAGAATACCAGACCAATGGACACAAGATACTTCTCATGTTAAATTGTAAATGACTACTGGAAAATTAGGCTGCACTCTCCCACCATCAGCGTGATTTATCCCAAGTGCTATTGTTCCTTACACAGGCACCTGAACTTTCCTTTGCAACATACAAAGAACGAGCTTTGCTTGTCTTTACATCAACCCCACCTGTCTATATGCTTCCCTCTGGTGAAGCCTACATCACAAAATAGTATATGCTAGGTACTGTCCACATAGAAGAAACAAGGTACAAAGGCAACAACAAAATATTAACCAAGTGGTTCAAGCAACTTGGCTTTGACTCTTAAGACCAGCAACAGATGACTGAACTTCACCATGTTATTCCTTGGATTCGCGACCAGTTGACTGTTGAATGTCTGCATGGTTTATACCACTTCCGTGCTCAAGACTATAATTCATTTGACCAGATGGATTGGACGATCCCCATCTTCAGCTAGTTCTACTTACAAATGATGTTTGCAAATTTGATCCATCAACAATATCTAGGTACTAGTGCAGGGTGTGGACTCATGCATGCTTTCATGCTGCTTGAGAGGAAAGGAATTAGATATGTGCAGACCAAAGGACCCTTCCACCAAAACCTTCACCAAGCTATTTGTCACATTGCCAAAGCACAATTGTGTACATGCTGGCTGGAGGCAAGTAATATAATCAAGCTCACAGATATTTGTACAAAATCTGCCTCCAAATTACAAGATTTAGCATAAATCATTCTCATTCTGGCCAAGATGTCCTCTAGTAACACATTGGAAGACATACTCCTTTAACCACCCAAAAAGCAAGACCAAGTTTGTTGTCAGGCTATCCTTTGAAATTGTGATGCAAGGAGCATAATATTAAGGAAAGCAAGGTGAGCCATTAAAATTCACGTGTTAGATCTCTCACTAAACAATGACACAGATTAGTTTTGCTGTGCATGGTGTGCATACTACACGGACCTCATAAGATAAAGTGCTCCTGCACTGCCAACTCTCAGATCTTGAGCAGCAACTGCAGTAGCTAGTATATTTAGTTGTTAATGACTTTACCCTGCTATTAGCTTATTTCATACATAATATTTATAATATCTAGGCAACATCCATCTTGAAGAACCATTATCAATATTTACTAGTACTCATTCTACTTATAGATTATATAATTTATTTAGTAAGAGAAAACATACATTGGCCAAGGCTTGAACTGGGACTCCAGTATTCAAGGTCTGGTACTTTACAAACTGAACTACCATGGTGTACTTGGAAACATACTAATTGGCTGTGTGCTCTAAAGGTCTGAATCACTACACATAGGTGTAGATCTCTTTATGTGTTGTGACATCCTACTATTATTACTACCAAGAGAAGATTTGAGTTTGGAAATTTCCAAGTCACATCTCAACAAGGAAATCAGCAGGGTTGTCAGACAATTATTTACCCTTGTAAAACAATTCTCTTAAGAAAGTATTCTATAACTGCATCAAAAGTTACTTAATTCTCTATTAGCTTTAAAATATGCAAAAGCTTATTTCATTGTGTGTTTTGCTATGCTGTACCACTGCATAGTTCCCATTTTGGCTAGGTACATATTTCTATCATTTTCCACACTCAAATCTCTCTTGTATTACTTATTATTATCTAATTCACTTCTCAATTATTTGTCCTCACAATCTATATAGTCCATACAGTCTGTATTTAGTCTGCACCATCTACTTTCAGTCCACCCAGTCCATATAGTGCACACCTGTGGGAATTATTATGTAACCTGCAAATTAAATAGTTGGCATTTGTGGCTTTATCCCATTAGACCCTTGGCACCAGGTGAAATGTGATATTTGAAGGGACCATCCCTATATGTATAAGGATGGGACCTGTGATAATAAATGGGACTATCCCATATCAAATAGGTCTAGTCCCTAATAGCTATAGATAGACCATGAAAAGGGGGATCTTAGCCCCAACCTTTTGGTGAGGATGATCAAGCTAAGAGCCTGAAGTGGGCTATCAGGGGGTGGTCTGCTTGTTAAGCTGTCAACCCTTCTCCAGACTGGCGGAGGCAAGTGCCTGGCCTGGTCAGAGGAAAGAGAAAGAGAAGTTTTTGTATGTAAAATCTAATCAACAGTAGTTCCACACCAACTACTGAACTATAGTACTCCCCTTAACACTGGGGGCCTTGTAATGTTTGATTCTCTCTAGTACCTTATCCTGAGGAGCTCACCTGCAGGATTGGGGCACACACTTGGTTTCCGCTGGCTAGAAAATGCTCAACACCTGACTGGCACCCAAGTCTCAATGTTCAAAAGAAGTCCACTTAACCCTGTGGTCCAGGTTTGCACAAAGTGTGAGAGAGTAGAAGAGCGAGTCCTAATATAGCAACCAAAGTTTTGATACTCTGGCACACAACTTCAGACAAGCAAGTGTGAGGGAATTAGGAGTGGATAAACCCCTTAATGGTAGGACTGAGTTAGTTGTGGGTATACAATAGGAGGACTAGCTAAAGAGTCTTTTAGATCTATTGAGGTATTTATACTACTACAGGTTATTTGTATATATTGTACTATACAGTTGATAGAAATGGTGGCTGATAATATCATAGGTCGCAGCCCGTGGACTAGCTCCACTGCGTGAGAGACTTTGTATTCAAAAATAAAGAGAAGCAGCGCAGCACAAGACAGTAAAAGTGGAGTCTGAACAAAAGGAAAGTGCCATATGGCATCAGTGTGTGAAGACTGAAAAAAAAAGTTAGTAAGTCCAAAAATTGTGTATCGAAACATATAGTACTATTGCAATTCAATCTAAAGGGTCAATCCACCACTTACACTGTCTGCCCCTCATGTAACTATGCCTACAAAGGTGCTAGATTGCCTGGGTCTTGTATAGACCAGTACCCTAAAAAGTGTACAAACAGACCAAAACCTGATTTGGGCATCTGTGACACTCTCCTTCTTGAGGCAAATGAGCCCTTCAAATTTTTTGTATATCATCATTTCTTCAACTACTTGAGTGATTCGTTATCTCAAGAAGACCTAGAGAAACAAATAGATACATCATATGATGAACTCAATATCTTACATGCTGACTTCATTCGGACCTTTGAAGGGCTGGAGCCTGGTGTACTTTTCATTGATAAAGGAGATGAAGGCTGCTATCTATACTCAATCAATGTAGGCTTCTTCAACAACAAAGGGCTCAATATCCGTGAACCCTCTACATCTTTTGTAATAATATCCTGCACCTGTCAAGTCTTCCAGCTGACATTCAATATAAGCCTGAATACATGTATCTTGCAGGTATTATACCTGGGCCACACAAACCTCCCCTCAAGCAACTTAATCACTCTCTCCAACTTTTAATAGATGATATGGTCATTTGCCAGGATTGAGGTGTTTGTTTTTCCCACATGGCAACATGACCACATGGTAAGACAACATGTAGCGCTGTTTTCAACACTTTCTGTGATCTTCCTGCCACAAAACATCCCACCTCAGAGGGACCACCAGTCACCACTTCTGTACCACATGCCATTTCTTCCATAAGTCTACACTCTAAAGGACTGATTTGAGCAACCCTGACTGGTGCCCACACAGCTTCCTCATTGGGATCCTACTTGTTAACTAATTGCTGACCCAATGCATTTGCATTGTCTGCTTAAGGACTGGCTCAGCTACACTTTCATGAAGCGCTTTTCCTCACAAAAAAATCTGCCCTCACACCTTCCAAGATTATGCCTGCTTTCAAGCATGATTTCACTCAAGTAGACCCCAAAATCCAAGTCAGCTGTGCAGGGGAGAAGTCAAACAAGTCAAAGATATACACAGGCTTCTGTGCCAACCAGTGAAAGATGAAGCACCAGCTAATAAAAAAAGTCAATGGATAGTTTATAAAGCCACCTGATGGCTAAATACTTGAGTGCATTGGCCTTTGTAGGGAACAGCCTTTAGCTGGTGCCAGTCATCAAAACCAGCACAATAAAGAAGATCAATTAGGCGAAATACCTTGTGTCCTGGGTAAGCTAGATCTCTGCTGACATATTTAACCAATGCTAACCACTTTATTCAGTGGACCCAAAGACCAAGGGTATCCAGTGAGCCATCATGGATTGTCTCTGTGTCGGTGATCCCACTGCTGGCTCTCTGAAATCGGACAAATGGTGTACCATGATAACAATATACATGCCAATCACTCTTGTTAGTCCTTGGGGGGAACAATCTTTGTGCAATGTCTCCCATCATTTTGTTGTGTATTGGATGATACAATGCACTTACTATGTGCAATTTTTCTAGCCTGCACAAGGACAAATTAGTTGTTTTTGTTACCTCAAAAATGTTGGCTGAAATAAGTATTTTGTGTTGTGCCGTGCCATGTATATAAAATGTCTAATATTGGAATAACAAAATGCTGGATAAAATCATTATCATACTCATTTATTTTCATATTTTGTGACATTTATAATTTAACCCATGATTGAAACTCATAACAAAATAAGTAGACTTGTGACCAGTACCAAAAGCAAACTCGGATTCAATAATCAATTAATTAGAAAATTTGTGAGCTTGCAAACGGACTGGTAAATATGGACTGTAACATGGCAGGTCATGCATTTGTGACACGGGACTTGACCAAATTTCAATGTTGTTAGCTTATAGGTTGTGGTCACTCAGTAGAACTCGATTGAAGTAGTAAAATGCATCTGGTTACATCGTTTTAAGCCCTCCGCACTGTCATAACTGAGAAAACCATCAGAATTTGTCTGATTGCAACCTGTTTGCATGTCCCTTCACTACCGGCATGTCCTACAACATAGATGTAATTCTTCCCCTCTGATCTGCCTGTGTTTACAAGATGCAAAATTGGGGGACACAGAGCCACTGGTGCAGCAAATAGTGTAGATTTTGTACAAAAGGGAGCCACAGGTCACTGTTGTTGTTGTAGCTGATACTTAATAAATGTTTTGTGATTTTCCTATCTGTCAGTTGTTCAAGACCCATTGTCACTACATAGTCCATTGCATACTACAACTGTAACATATGCTACTTTCATTGTGATTATTAGGTTCTGCTAAGTCCTGACTCACATTTGGTGGGATGTCACGTGTCCTGCCAAAATGAGGTCCGTGTGTACCAGCCAGTTCTGACTTTTGTGTCAGAACCGGTTGGTTACAAGCCTACAAAATAAGTAGTGCATTTCAAAGGGCATCCAAAAAGGGAACACCTGACCCCGACTTGATTTTGCTAAATTCACCATGTTTTGTAAAGCTTATAGCTCACTCATTCAAAGGCCAATCAAGCTTGAAAAATTACCACATATATATTGTAACTAAGCCTATCAGTGTAGATGAGATGTTTGGCATTCAAATGGTTCTCCAGTTGTCATGTTTGAGCAATGTGTTCAGGAGATATGAATCAAATGGAAAAAAATCAAGTCGGGGTCAGACATTCCCTGTTTGGTAGCCCCTTGATGCATTTGATGTATTTTCATAGCTGAGATTTGCAATTTAAAGTAGTTAAAATGTTGACCTAAATAACAATTTTTGCAAAGCATTTTAACAAACATTTCGGAACATATGCTGCATGTAAGCGAAGTTCTTAGTTGTGCACAATTGTCTTGTATTGAATTTCAAAGGGTTGCAAAGATGCACAAAGTTGTAGGTAGCCACATTGTGGTTAATCAGCACTATTGGTCACTGATGATTTTCCTCCTCCATGTCAAATACTTCCATAATTAGTCCTTTGCCATCCAGGACACACACTACTCTTCTTCCAAGCCTCCCGTTTACGGCCAAAGAAACTGGTCCACGAGATACTAACTGACGGTGACTTCTGATTGGCATGGGTAAAGACGAAAGCTAGTTTGGGCATGATAAGTCAATTCAGTCTCACAAAAACTCGAGTATGATACAAACATTGCCCTCGCGCCACCTTTGCAGCACATGTGTTACTAAATCGTTTCGAGAAGTTGTATTTGCAACCGTGATAAACTCTAGAGCTCTAAATCCTAAATTATGGTATTGAACCATACCGACAAATGTTGAACCTACTAAAAGTGAGGCTAGGATAGTGCGAAGGATATGATATTCCGCACCTCGACTTTCCCGGGTCTGATAAGCGAGAACAAGGCATTCATCATCGAAAAATTCGACATCCAACAAGTTAAAATTTGAGTGCAACTGACAACTACCTTCGATTGTATAGCAGTTTAGGAGAGCAACCTCCACAAAAATAGGAGTGTCGTTGTTATCTTTAACGTATGGCATTCTGATCAGACACACTGTCTCAAAAAAAAACTGTTAGAGCAGAAGTCAGTAAAGCTGGAAAAGTGACTGACAGAAAGAATCAACGTCCAAAACAACGTGAATAGCGAGATACTGAGAGAAGTTCCCTGACTACACCAAAATAGTAGATTTGTCTCATGTACATAATTTCACAATGCTCACCATGGTGCCATGGTCATGCTCAGCCACATACTGGCGAATGAGAGTGGAATCAGTAGTAGAAGTAGCGTGCCTCTCTTCCTGTTGGCCCTTCGGCTTAGCTTGCGACACAATAGCTGATCGACCGATAGCAGTGGATGCTCGGCTAAATATCCTTTGCGACTGGACTACCAATCCGTGGAGCAAGTGATTAAGATTTCTGTCAAGCGGCAGTCGCCTTGTCTGTGTTTATCAAGAAAGCGGATTGAAAGGGCATCCGACAAACATAGAGAAGGGAAGAAACAAACCCCCTGTTTTGAAATGCTGACAGTGCCTTGGAGAACGCGTTGTGTTTTAACAAGTGAAGAACTCAATCGAGAAACATCTCCAAAGTCTTGTAAAATGGAGTTGGAAAGTGGGCCCGTAAACCACTCATCGAGCTCACTGTGTGATAAGGCGGACATTAAGTAATTGTTAACCTCAACTGTGTCAAAGTCTGGGACACGTGGATGATGAGAGGGGATGTTGACGGAAGCCTCTAAATGTCATTGTGCTTAAAAGGGTATAGCTGTGGCGAGAAATGACGGACCGTAACGTAGAAATGATAAGAATTGCTTGAACTGATAAAGTTCTCGATGCGCAATAGCAGCCAACCACTTCACGAGCAAAACGATCTGCTTGATTAGATTCAGACAACCGCTAACCTCATCAGTATCCAAATCAAAAATAGCATATTGAGGTCTGCATACTGGGATAAGTGATTACTGAGAAAGAAAGCTAAATTCTCACAGTTGCGAATATCCTCTAACATCCTCCAACAGAATGTATGCACGCTGGAGAGCAGGCATAATAATTTTGACCGAATATTCATGTATTTTCATTAGGGAGTCAGCCACGCTTGATTCCCACTTCTGAATTCCCTGGCAATATAACCACATGAGAGTATACCCTAAGGAGGGCAAAAATAACTACCCTTTCACCGAGCTGCTCGGCGCTTGCCAAGAAAGCTCCTAAGTCATCCGAACTGTTGCCCGTTAAAAGAAGACATGTCAATTCAGGAATAACACTGTGACATTCTTCGCTCAATCAGTCGCATTACTTTCAGCAAGTCAAGCAGGGACAGCAAGTCTGTCACTTACCTCCAAATGAGTGTTTGAAATGGATTTCAAGAGAACGGACCCAACTTCCTCCTATTTCACGTGCGCCTCTCGCTGTTTGAGTGCCAAACCAGAATGTCTGCATGTCCTGCACCGCTCGTGTAGTGTACCACGTTAACCCACGCATTGCTGACGACAGCTTGGCGAATTCATATATTTTGCCAGTGGCGTGGACTGGTAATTCGATGGCCACTGGTCGGATTTTCGTTGATAATGATTGTTTGACGGAAGTAGAAGGTAGACGAACGTAAACGGAAACCTAGCGTGTTTGAGCAACTGTGATACCGACAGGCCTGGACCTAAATAAACACTTCCGAGGGAGTAGCTCCCACCAAAAAACACGTGTATGTAGCCTGCACTGTCTGCAATTAAAAGCGTATTAGAGTGAATCCCGTCGTGTAATTGGTCTATCTGGTCCATCGTTGTCTGCGAAAGACGTTGGAAAAGGGCTGGCCATGCGTTGAAGGTGTCGCAAGGCGAACAGTGTGGTTCGTGAGATATTTGAAAGTCACAAAAAGCCAAGAAATCATCCACGCTGAAATATATCAGTCTGAGATATACAAGTTCCATGGGCTTCATACATCAGCTGTGTACCATTTCCTCGAGTATTGTCCAGTAGAGATAGAAATCGCGAAACTGAGAAATGAGATCCTGTCTGCAGCATGAAAGTGAGTTATGTTTCAAGTTTCAGGGTATGCTTCACTAACGATGATATCATATCTCCGTAAAATATCAGGAATGGAGCTTGAGCTATATTCATGCTGGTCACGGAACCACCAGATGCCGGTGATATGAGTAGAGATGTCTGGTAAGTCTGAAACTGATGGAAGAGACAGGATCTGCTGTAGGCCACCATCGTGAAGAGAATGCAGCGTGAGACGCGGCGGATGGTGAGCAACAGCAATGGTCTGACCTAATCAGGTAACGTCAAGGCAGTTCGACGAACAAATGAAATAGGATCCGTACCATCAGGACTCCATGTGAGTCCCATGATTGACTCACTACTGCCTTTGTCTTTGATAACTTCTATCTCCCATTTTTTAGTTCCTTGCATCTTCCATAAGCTCATTGTATGTGTTCCTCCAATGCGAGCAAGAAGGACAACGAGATCTTTATCAGGACAACATGCGGAAGAAAACAGGCGACAAGCATACGGTAGCTGAAGAACTGCTAGAGGGGACATATTCTCCATAACGAGAGGTACGCGAGTACTAGTATGAAGTTCTTGACTTGCAAAAGTGCATCAATAGGCTCCTCCACAGCCACACTAGTAATGTTTCGAGAGAGGAGGATGAGTCACCTGTGGTTCCCACGCAATCATCATCCCCGACTCTTCCGAACTTGAGAGGTCAGACAGAAAGTGCAGCTCTCTATATCGCGATATGCACGGTAACTTGCGGTTATAAACTATACAGCTCCATGATCTACTACTTAACCAGTTTCATTTTTTTTCCCTTTGATTGCTTTTATCAGTCTGGTTAAATTTGAAATGGTGGCAAATAATTAAGTGTTGGTTGCTTTGAGCTGTATTCTGTTTTAATCTGTGTTTTAACATGGTCCATTTGATCTGATTTAATGTTTATCAATAAGTGCACTTGCAATTCCTGTTGCCTTGTGTTGGACAGTGATTGGCAGAAAGTGAATGACAGTGCTACTGGGGAATATCTCAACAACACTAAAAGCTAACAAGCCAGCACCTGACAAGTCTCCGAGCAAGAGGAGTAGCCCTGGCTTGGATATACTCTCTGATGACAAGTGGCTTGTGTGGTTTTGGTTTTGGGCAATGTTTCACTTCAGTCACCCTCCAAATGGGGGCATTTAGGTTGAACATTGTGTGTAAAACTATCAACCTAAATGCCTATTTTTTTTGGGTAAATCCCAGGACTTGGGATAGTCCCCAGGCAATTTACATCTAGGCAAATCCCATCCCTACGGGATAATGCCAAAGAAATATCACATGTCACAAAGTGTCAGGGGGGCTTGGACTGGTATTTCTAGACAGCATTCAAACAATATAAATGATAACTACAAATAAAAATATAGTTAAGATTGCTTGGAAGCATTGAATGCATTATTTTTAACCATCATTAGAATAGGTTGACATTTGCAAAATGATAGTATTTATGATCTAAATTCATATTACATATGTATCACCATAATACTACACCATTCATGTCCTTAGCATACTGCATTGGAATCATTTAATGGAGTAAAGGAATTTTGATTGAATTCTGTCAACTGTAAGGGTGCAAACATAAAATTTCCAGCTGGTTATCCTACACATATTGCATGGTGAATGTACTAATAGCAGAACAACCACCCTATATATATTATATAGTCAATGGCTTGTGGGCCTTAAGGCTTTGTGTATCCATGTCCACTACTTATTGTAAAGCTTTACTAGTATTGAAGTACAGTGTTTATAATAGACCAAAATTTCAGGTGCACAAACCAAAAACAAAAGATATTAGAGAAATGCAAATACTTTAAAAGTTTAGACGCAATATATGCACTTAGCATTATAACATATCACACTCAAATTCACATACATTTAAGGTCAGAATGGTACAGTATTTATTACCTTCCAGTTGTTCATTGTTCAAACAATATTCAGATTTCTCCACGTACCTATTTCCTCACTATAAGCCATACTACTACTTGTCATTGTTTAGCACTCAAATATGCAATACCATAACTAACTTCAGAATGATAGACCTAAGCAATTAGTTAGTATATGGAGCAGAACTACAAGCAAGCTTTAAAAGTAATAGGTCCAAATTTTAGGAAGACTCATATCTTCTGTTTCTTGGTTGAAGGTGACACCAGGCTCTGCTCCATCTAAAGGCAGAAGACCAAGTTCTCCTGGATATCTATACTCCACTGAAGTCTACTCTGTACACTAAGGTCATTGCTTGGCTCTCTCATTCTGATGTCAGCTATGATTGCAACACCTCTAGTATGCTGTACACTTAATGTACCTGCACAGTCATACACTACAGATCTAATCTATAACAATCTATAACTGCTTCATACATTGGCAATCATGCTCATCCATTTTTGTCATAGAAGTCAAGCAATCAGAGTGCTTCACACCAATATTTTCTTTTATTATTAATGGTTTTATTTTATAATGAGATGAATTTTCTTCTGTGTCAAAGCTTAACATGCTCACCTAGCAAAAATTTTAACAACTCTGTGTGCCCAGTTTGTGGTGTTCCTGTTGCAGTGTAAGGTTATTTTTTTATGTGGTAACTTGTTAGTGTAAGGATACAAAGTTTCCACATGCTGCACTATTTTTTTGAAGATTAATATGTTAGAGGATGCACTTTGGATTCAGCATATCTGTCAATTGTTTGTTGATATATGGTTACACTCATTGACATTAGCAGTCCAGACATTCTACTTAGCACATATTTTCTCAGAGCATATACCCAACTGTGGTTTAAGTCCGTGTACAGCTTAGCAAACGGATACACTTGGATTCAGTTGACAATACTATGACGGTACAAAACAGTGTCCTAGTGAAACAGAAAAGAAGGCAATGAGACATACTTCATACAAACATGCTAATACAACGACAAGTTTTATGCTGGAGACATTAGCTTCAGCATGATCCTGAAACAACAATACTTTACCTTGTCATTCAGTATCCTGTTGCAAGAGTCCGCCTCCATAATTCTGGGTTTCTTTGTGGTGGATTGCACTATTTCTCCCTGCTCAACCGACTTTGCAACATCTGATGGTGCTTGTTCTTTTTTGCATTTGGCATATTTCCGATCAAACCAGTTGATGTATCAAAAGTAGGTTGTATGGTACACGGCATCTGATATATGATTCATCACCACATCCCACTCAAGCTTGAACTCAGGCTTCAAAGAACGGACATGTCCGAGGTGCAACTGATCAGCATTGAGATGCTCAAGGGGTGTTTGATGGTGTTGATTGTGCTTCTGGATATTCAGCTTTGCGTGATAGCTGAAGGTGCTTTGATGAGATCCCATAAGGAGTCTGGCTTCTCTTCTCATCTGTCCATCTGGTATTGGAATGTACAGTAATGAGGTAGGCAGAGTGGTAAGGAGAAAGCTTCATGTCTAAGCTTGCCAATATGCTCATGACAGTGATGGTAGGGAACAAAGGGTCTCTCTCACAGGTTCCACCGGCACCCACCATTCCAACTAACAAGTGCTGATTACACTATGAATCAAATTTGCAATGCAGTTGGAGAGTAGGTCCCCTTTTTTCCCACAATTCTCAACTTTCGCTACAGTGCCAAGCAAGAAGCCTCATGCCTGACATACATGTCTGGGACGAGGGTTCAAGTTGAACATTGTGTGGACATTCGCAGTATGTGATTCACACGCAGATGGGCTTGGACTTCATGCGCAACAGCTTTGCCTTACTGTTGCATCATATTGTCCATAATCCTGTCAAATTACGCTTTTTGTCGCTCTCGAGCTTAGTGGATTTGATCTGTAGTTGGGTTCTGGTGAGTGTTCAGCTATTTTTGTAATGAACACTGCTGCTTTGCTTTCAACAGGCTTCATCATTGCGGTTCGCACAGAATATTGCACATCATACCAAGACAGCAGGAGAGTGACTGTGGTGTCCCCTCTTCGTTTGATCCTTGTATGATGAGACTATGCGTCTTCGTTGCACACCAGTATCAGGACTTGGTGTCTTCAAGCATCCTGTGCTGGACTGCAGGCGGAGACCATTGGCAGATACAGGCCAATCAGCCGACTTATTGGTTCTATTTCTCGTTTCTTATTTCACATGTTATATTGTTGTAGGTTTCCTCCATCAACTCCCCAACACCCACACACTCTCATTTTAGGCTTCTTTGGGTTAATCTATTACTATAAATGCCTACCATTGCAGCTAGAAATCTCAAGCCTTATACTCACTTGTTAGACGGTATGGACAATGTGGCTATGATTGTTAGTGAGGTGCTGATTTTTGTTTAGTCGGATTGAATGCTTTTGACACACTGGCTGTTGCTTACAAGCCTCCGTGGATTGTAACTTCTCCAAATATGGAGTGGTTCCTGGAGATACATCACTTCAAAAATGAAGAACTTTGCACAAGAGATGATGGGCATTTTGGCATTGTAGACTGCTATCAATGGCTGCAAATGCACTCTGAAACCTATCTGTGGTCCCTGCTTATCCTTTGTAAGGAGTCTCAAGTATGTTTGGACAAGCATATGAAATGGTTATGGCAGACACCCTCAAGGAATGATTTCAAGGTTGAGGAGGGTTCTATATTTGAGATTGGGAGGATTTCTGCCAAGAAGGTGGATATGTTGGAGAATTTGGAACAAACTCTGATAGAAAGAGTGTGTAGCTGGCAGAAAGGCCAGATACCTGGCAGTGATGTCATTTCACCATTTGGACTTGCACTTTGTTATGCCTTGGCCCACTTAAAATATCATCTGCTGACTTTCCAAGACACAGTATTGCAAGTCGCTGAATTCCAGCAGGTATATTTGGATATCTACGCTCATATGGAATACATGGAGCTTGTTATTCCACGTCTTTGATCCTCTATTACATCTGTAGCACCCGTACATAAATCCTGGATGGGTGCCTTTACGCAAGATGCGGCTGTTTGCCAGAGATATTACCACGCGGGTGTTCCAGTGTGGTATATCCGTAATGAAATTTTTTTCCCTTTGAACACCAATGTTGTCCACATCGTCAATTTCACACGCCCACATCACATAATCACTGATCACTTTCATGACAACGCTTCTAAGGCTTTCCCTCTCCTGTATATTGGCCCAGGCGGTGAACACCATCACTTCCGCTTGTGTCAGCTATCACAGTGTTGTTTTGATCCAATCAATACGCCCCAACCTCCTACTGGAGCCTTCTATGGTATATCAATGCCTGTTGGGGATCACAAGTGCAAAACAGTTGCGGCACAGCTCGGAGGTTTTGGCAGAGTCTCTCGACAGAAGTTAGGTGTAGTGTGCGGCAATCTGTGTACATGTAAACTTGAGCCTCATTGAATTCTTTGGTTAGTGGCTAAATGTGGTCGGTTAGATCATATATCTAGAATTGTTTTTTCACACTCAAAGGGACCTAATAGAGACAAATGGTCCGATCCTGATAGCGACTTGGTCCCACTGTCAATACCACTATGGAACAAAGCCTTGCAAGCTGTCCAGCGAGACTCGAGTCCTGTTCAAGGATGGACGCATGATCCAGGATATTGCTTTCCAGATCCAGCAATGTTTGTGGTGGTACAGTCACCGGAAAGGAGGTGAAGATACTTAGCTAATTGGCTTGCATGCCGTGGTGCCTGGATAAATTGGGTGAATGCTTCAAACGATGCCAAATTTCCATCACCTCAAAATTGGCGAGATTTCCTCAACTGTCTTCCTCAAGGAGCAGAGCACAAGTCCACATATTTGGAAAGAAGCAAACAAGCTGCAGAAACATCCAAACCACCAAATATAAAGACACCTTTTCCATTACTCAACAACCACTCCACTATAGTACGTACTTCCTCTGGGAGCTTGTTTTTGAGGGCGTATTCTGAGAGAATTAGTATCCTAGCCTTTTGTTTGACTTCACCTCTAAGCTGAGCTGCAGCCGCCCACACCTGTTTATAATTTTAATATTAGTAATATTGGAAGCATTGTTCTCACTCACATAATTGATGATTCTACCTTTTTTCTGCTCGTCCCTTGCATTCTCCAAATCTACTATGGTAGTCTTGAATAGTAGAGAAGAACTGGAAACTTTGATGATTGCATTCCAAACAAGTTCATCTCGTTCATCAGTACCTGGGAAGCCTTTCACAGTAGAAAGAATGACACACATTTGAGAATGTCCTGCTTTAGCCAGCCTGGAGCTGGTAGGGCTAAAGCTAGTGATGACGGCCTGTGTAGACTATAAGCCTCATAACTTTAAACTTATTGCATACTTACCTTGGAATCTCTGAAAGGCGTTAATGAAGGAAAACTACTGCTATTCCTTTTACGCTTATTGTTAACCAACTGGACACTTTCAGCTGGTGATGCAGTTATCTGTATCTGTATATGTGGATCAGTGAACTAGAAAAAAAAGGTAAAACTCACATTGGTACGCAATGATAAGACCATTTGTTTGTAGCAAGGATTGTCCAACTTCTGGGTCAATGAAGGTGAGGGAGTAACTTGCTGTGAGCTTTCTGATGATGATGCTGCATTAGTACAGCTTATAGCTAAGGTTGAGTTACTTGCCTGTCAAGTGTCTAAAGATCTGCATCAGAGCATCTTCATCTTCATCTTCTAGTTCCTCTTCCATGCTATTCCTGGCCCTTTTATGAAGAGGTTCATCTTCACTATCAACATCAGGCCTATCCAAGTCTCCTTCTTCCTCATCATCCTCAGCCTCCACCATGTGAGCTGCTTTCTGACGAATATCTGGGAAGTGTACTATGTAATAGACATGATACATAACACATATTAAATGACTCACCTGCTAGCTTGTCAGTATTTGCATCCTTTCCAGATGCTTGCAACTTCTTCATCAGTTGGCTGTATAAGATTTCTTCATCTTGTGTAAGCCCATCAGAAGAGTTTGATGTCCCTTGAGCCCTGGAATGTTTAGTTAAAGGCTTCTTGGACTTACTCCCCTGAGTTTTGTTCTGTCCAGATCTTGTCCTAGCAGCCATCACCAAAATAGTAGACAGAGACAGAGGTAAAAGATATAGAAAATGAGGAATTAGCAAACAGTGGAACATTTCATCCCTCACACCTTTCAACTTTCTTCTCAAAAGTGATACAACAAATAAATATACACTAGTACAATTAGTGACAAACTCTGGATCAAACAATTGGTAAATGTCTAAGAGTATCAAGGTCAAAAAAACAAAATGCATTACAAAGTCCATGGTTATTAATGTAAAGAAGAATGTCCAGCCCATCCATTTTGCCCATTTCTCCAGTTATCCATTTATTTGTCAGTTTTCAAGACAATTGAGCCCCTCTGCCCTCTGAAGTGCAAGTTAAAATGAGTTATATCACATGAGCAAAAGAGCACAATATCCCCCTTTCTCATCTGCAACACCAGGCCAGGCTCAACAAGGCAAAGCTCTCCCCCTTTATGCTTACCCAGTGGTATGACTAGACAAAAAGGTTTGTCCTTGGCATCCCTGTGAGCCTTGGTTGAAACATTGATATTGACCACAAGACCTAAGAATGGGCAGGCAGCAGAGGCATTGTTTTCAGGGAGTAACTCAGCATGTTGTCTGAGTACCAAATATTTGGTAGGTAGATAAGTAGCAAACTACATCAATGGTATCAGCAAATTATCCTGTAAATAATCAGAAACAATGTCACTCACCATTTCATTAATCTATTCAAAGAGATCAGCAAATACAGTTTTAAGTCTCTGGTAAATGTCAGTGTGGTCTTGAATCTCCTTGGACGTATAGGGGACAAGCTGCAAATAATTTGTTCTCAAGGCATACTTTCTCCTCATCATCAAAGGGGGAATATCATTGGGTGCATCATTTGCCTTCATTGATTCAGTATAGTTTGTAAATGGAAAGAAAAAAAAACTCACTTTTGTACAATGGCGGTTGTACCAAGAGAAATGTAGAGCTTCAAATGTGAAGCCTTCACCTTCAACAGCTGAGTCTACATGATGTAGAGATGTGGTGGAGCCTAGGCAGGACTGGAAGTTAGGCAGGAGAGTGGTGTGGATTGATTCTGGCATAGTGCTGTTTTATATTTATGAGGTCTTCTGGGCGAGCGTGGTGTTTGAATTCTTCAAGGTTATACTTCCTGGGAAATTCCTGGTCTTGCAGATTGCTATCTTCAGACCCAGAGTCATTATTTCTTGGCTAGTTCTGAGATGGTGGTGTAATTGTGTTTAAATCTTGATTTTTGGTGTTTATATCCTGGTCGGGATGATGCTAGTCTTGCATGGATGACTCAGGTTGGTTTTGATTTGACTGCTGGGATAGAGTAGCAGTGGTAAATTGAACATTGTTAGCATGTAATATAGAGATTCTGAAAATTCTGCTTGGTTTATTTGATGGCTAAAGGGTGTTCAAGCTTGCAATGTTCAAAAGGTGCTTACATTGAGATTGCAGATTACTTTTTGATGCCTCTGGTAGGTGTGCTTGTACCCATTTTTCCTGCACCACAATTACGCTTGCAGGTATAGTACTGGTTGACTCTTTCTTTGAGTTTCTTCAAGCTGCCTAGGAGAGGTTTGTCCACTGGAGAAATGCAATGGAAACTCAGTATAGGATTTTATGTTATCTTATCTGTTGAAGAGAAATGTGTTAGCTAGCAAGTTTAATTGCAAAGATATGGACTTATTGCAATCTACCATGATTTGAATACAGAATGCAATGACAAGGATCCCTTTTGATCACAAGAAAAACATTGATTAACAAGGGCATGTATTGATGCAGCATGCTAGTCTCAGCTATTTCCACAAATGTGCATAATTGTGGTGAAAAGCATAAATTTGTGCTATTCATGTGCAAATGTGTAAAACCATGTACCAAAGTTCTGTCATTTTTCAGTGGGCTTCAAGCCTTGCACAAGATTCAAGATTATCTCACCAAAGTGATGACATCATCAGCCACTGCCTCCATCAACTGTACAGTACACATGTACAAACAACCTGTAGTAGTATATATACCCTAATAGATCAAGGACACTCCTCAGTGAGCCTTGCTGTTGTTTACCCACAACAAACTTGGTCCTAACTAAAGGGTAACCACTCCCCTCACTTCTTTATAGCTTTGTCTGAGTTGTGCACCAGAGTATACAAACTCTTGGTTGTTACATTAGGGCTTGCTCTTTACTACTCTCTTGCACTTTTTGCAAACACGGTCCCCAGGGTTAAGGGGTTATTGTTTTGGAATATCCTATTAAGAACAAAGCTTGAAGGAAGTGTCTAGCCACTTGCTGAGAGCAATCAGGGACTGGAACTAGAGTCCAATGTGAGTAACTATATTATTAGAGAGTATGGCAGGTATACAGTACCTAGAGTCCAATGTGAGTAACTAGAGAATAGGAAGCATTGGACTCTGCAGTACTGTCCGAAGTTTTGTAAACAAAGGTAAACAAAGCAGCCACAAAGGCGAAATAATAGAGAACACAATCAATAGTGAATGATAGAAGAATAGATAGAGAAAGGAATAAAAATATATAGGTAGCACAAAGGTGCAGAATCACCAAAACTAACATATCCCATATAGCAGAAGGGTGCACTCCTAGTGATGGCCCTGTAGTGCTCAGGGAGAAGGGACAATTAAACTATACACGGCCCCCAGTGTTAAGGGGAGTACTTTAGCTCAGCAATTGGTGTGGAACCACTGTTGATTAAAATTTATATACAAACTTCTTCTCTGACCAGGCCGGGCACTTGCCTCCACCAGTCTGGAGAAGGGTTGACAGCTTAACAAGCGGACCACCCCCTAACAACTGTTCGGACCAGGGTTTATTACATTTACCTTTTATATACATTTTCAAATACTATATTGTGGGTAGCCGGAGATTAAGATCTGATACTCAGCTGGGAAGAGGTTGATCCACATGGAGCAAGCAGGTACCCCCAGTTACCTTTTCTACTTTACCAAAGAGAACAAGTCAACATGTCGTTGCAATCCACCCAACCCGACGTCAACACTCTGTTGCACAACATGTGTGCACAGGTTTTGGTGTTGACCGCACAGCTTGCCGAGTTTCAGGCAAACCCCCCTGAAGCAGTTGAGCAAAAATTCAATAAAAAAGTCAAAATTGTCGCTAACCCCAGCACCACTTTCAAAGGAGACCGGGCTCCATTTGCTGAATGGTGGATCAAGCTCGAGATTTGGATTAAGGCAAACTGGGATGTGTTTGCCAATGATTTTGAGATAGCAACAGCTGTGCTATCAAGACTAAAAGGACCTGTGGCAGGTCAATACACCCATGTACAACTCCAGGAATGCTATACCGCTGGTCACTGGCGTACCTGGGACAAGTTGAAAGTTGAAATTGAAAAATATTTCAAACCACAAGCTGAGCGTGACTGGGCACACCAGCAAATCCATACCTTCAAGCAAGGAAACATGAGGACGGATGACTTTGTTACCCGGTTCCTGGCTCTCTCTATCCAAGGGGGCCTAGAAAATGAACATGCGGTGGAGCTGTTGGAGCACAATGTGTCACCAGCCATTGCACAATAGCTTTACATACAAGATATGCGGAGCAAAAACCTTTCAGCAGCTGCTGAGGAGGTTCAAAAAATTGGTAGGGCCATAGAGCTCTACACTATGCAATTTGGTGGTGGGTCCACCACCAAAAATAACTATTCCCAGAGGCGCCCTGGGTCATCAAACCAAACTCAAAATCACTCTCACAGGTTCAAGCCGTTTGGGCTACAGCCAGGGCAGGGTGCTCCTATGGATATCAGCACAGTCCAAGGCAGACAAATGTGCAGATTCAAGGGCAACTGCTATAACTGTGGCCAAGAGGGACACATGTCCCAAGATTGCAGAAATGGGGCACAGGCTGCCCAACAAAAAAATAACCAAGGGTGCCAGGCACGCCAATTAGAAACAGAAAAACCAGATAATTGGCCCAATTCATTGGCTAGTTGTTTGTATGACAAAATCAGGGCCTTCTTCTATGATCAGCAGGTTGCTGAGACGAAGGCCCAGGGAAAATAATTTGGAGTGTAGGTCACTTGGGTGCCTTTTCTCCTCGTAACAATGAAATAAACCACAACAAAGTGGCCCCTGCTCCGGGGTGTTGCACAAGCAATAACAGAAAGAAGGGGGTAGCTCCCCAATTTATAAATCAATTTCTCAATTTATTATCTGAAGTATGTACTTGTAGAAAGGATTGTAACTGTAATATTTACAATACTACCGCTGCACCAGCGTCTCCTCAGGAGTGTGGCCCCGGCAAGACAAACACTAGGGTGCTTGATTCTGGTAAAAATAAAAATAAAAATATACAAAATCATAAGGTAGAAAACATGTTTATCTTGATACTTCTTCTTCTTCTTCTTCGGAGCCACTTTCTACAGAAATCCCAAGGCATGTGTTGACGCGCACATATTCATTCCAAAAGGAGATCCGTTTAGATGTTGGTGTGGAAAACCTTGCTCGGGGCATAGTATACCCAATCAGCGCACTGCTTGATTCAGGCACTAACAGAATCTTCATAGATCAGGTCTGGGCAGAGCAAATTAGACTCCCTTTTGTAAAATTAGATGTATCTATTCCCATTTATAATGTTGACGGTACACTTAATGCAGGTGGCTGCATTACGCACAAATGTTCTTTTGTTGTTGAGTACCAAGGACACAGAGAACAAGTCACCGCCAAAGCTACCCAACTAGGGAAGATTAATTTAATCTTAGGCTGGACCTGGCTATTTAAACACAATCATAAGATTGACTGGCAGACAGGGGTTGTCACATTGTCACGTTGCCCTCAGGAGTGTGATGACTTGGGTAAGCCAAGTCATGTCCGTCAAACTGAGCTTGATGAAAGGATAAACGCTGGTCACGTTTATGCCAAGCTTAGATCTTTAGATATGATTGATGATGATGATGATGAGGTAAAACCCAAGGAAGAGATTAAGAGGCTAGTACCTCCAGAGTACCATGACTTCTGGAAAGTCTTTTTAAAACATAAATCAGAACACTTCCCAGAGGCCAAGCCTTGGGACCATGCTATAGGTTTGAAGAATACGTTCAAACCGAGAAAAGGACACATGATTCCCCTCTCTGCCCCAGAAAAAGATGAGGTTTTAAGTTTCATAGATGAACAGCTTGAAAAGGGTTACATCAGACCTTCCAAAGCCCTATGACGTCCCCAGTATTTATTATTCCTAAAAAGGATGGTAAAGAGTGTATGATTATGGACTATTGTTACTTAAATAAGTACACAGTTAAAAATGTGTATCCGCTGCCTTTAATTAGTCAGCTAGTAGACAAGTTGGCTGGTGCCAAGATCTTAACAAAGATGATCTAAGATGGCTGTACAATAATGTACACATCAAAGAAGAAGATGCTTGGAAGGCCGCGTTCACGTGCCACCAAGTATCCTTCAAACCCCTTTTTATGTTCTTTGGGTTGACCAATTCACCAGAAACCTTCCAGAGCATGATGAACGAGATCTTTGCTATGGAAAACTGTGTTGTCATTTACATTGACAATTTATTAATATTTACGAAGTTGGATAATAAGGCTGAGCATGACAGGATCGTGCAAGAAGTCCTTCGACGCTTACAGGAACAGGACCTATTCATCAAACCCAGAAAATGTAACTTCAAAGTGAAGGAAGTAGACTTTCTCGGTATGATAATTGGCCAGAACAGAATCAGGATGGATCCTGAGAAAGTTCAAGCTATTTTGGATTGGCCTGAACCTACTCGTGTCAAAGGAGTTAGGGCTTTTTTTGGCTTAGGCAACTTCTACCAAAGGTTTGTTGAAAACTTTGCAAAGATAATGAGACTGTTGAACAATCTCACAAAAAAAGACATTGTTTGGCACTGGGGCACCAAAGAATAAGAAGCTTTTGACAAACTTAAACAGGCATTTACAATGGTGCCCATATTAGCATTTCCAGAATTAGACAAAGAGTTCCAGCTAGAAACCGACTTTTTGGATTTTGCTACTGGGGCTGTTCTGTCAATAAGATGACCTGATGCTCTTTGGAGGCCTTGTGCCTATTTATTGCATAGTTTGTTGCCTACAGAGCGCAACTATCAAATTTACAATAAGGAGATGCTGGCCATCATTAGAGCTCTAGAGCACTAGCGGCATTACTTAGAAGGTGCTAGGCACCAATCTGAAATCTGGACCGATCATAAGAATCTGGAGTATTTTATGATGGTCTGAGACTTAAACTGAAGACAGGCCTGCTATGTGGTGTACTTATCTAGGTTTAATTATAAATCAATTCATAAGCCAGGTACTTCTATGGGGAAAACGGACACTTTATCTAGAAGAGAGGATCATGCCAACGGCATCAAAGATGACAAAAAAGGTGTCACCCTGATAGATCAATCAAGGGTTGCCAATATTAGAATCAGGCAGGACTCCGATCTTCTGGAAGTCCTCAAGAAAGACGTCTCCTCAGAAGAGAAGGCACACCTTGATGGCAATTTACATTATTGATGGGAAGATGGGCTCTTCCATTACAAAGACAAAATCTATGTGCCTGAGTACGCAAGGATGAAGGCAATAGATAGACATCACGACACTCCAGTGGCTAGGCACCCTGGGTGGCAACAAACAATGGAGTTGATCTCCAGAAACTACATGTAGCCTGGCATGGTCAAAGACATACAGGAATATGTAAAATCCTGCCTGAGATGTGCCATGGCAAAGAACTCGCATCAACCGCTGGCCAGTAAACTTATGCTAAATCCAATACCAGCTGGTCCCTGGCAGGATATATTTGTTGATTTCACGACGGATCTGCCCAAATCAAATGGGTACAATTCAGTAATGGTGATGGTAGATAGCTTCTCCAAAGAAGTGGTATTTATTCCCACAAATAAAACTATCACAGCCGCAGGTACGGCCAACTTATTTAAAGATTTTGTATGGTCTATCCATGGGTTACCAGAAATGATTATCTCCGATAGAGGACCACAATTTGCTAGCAAATTTACAAAAGAATTATGCCGGATGCTGGGCATTGAACCTAAATTACCAACGGTGTTCCATCTGCAGACCAATGGACAAACAGAGAGGCTGAATCAAGAATTGAAGCAATACCTCCAGATATTTATTAATGACAGACAGACAGATTGGGCCAAGTGGCTAAAAATAGCCCAGTTCTCATACAACATCAAACAGTCGTTGGCCACAGGAAAAGCACCGTTCAGGGTTACAAGGTTGTACCTCCCCAGAATGGGTATAGAACCTGGCAAAAGCAAGAACAAGGCTGCTGAGAACATGGCTAAGGACATGAAGTCTGTCTTAGATGAGACACGCAAGGCGCTATTCAAAACTGCAGAGCAGATGAAAGACAGGGCAGAGTGTAGACACTCTAAGGCCCCTGACTACAAGGTCGGCAACCTGGTCTGGTTAGATACCGATCACTTAAAATTAAAAGATCAGCAGTCTAGAAAACTGACCAAAAAGTGGATTGGCCCTTACCGGATCAAGGAAGTCAAACCCAATGCAGTGTGGAGCTGGAGCTCCCAAAACAAATGAGGGTAGTACCCACCATCAATATTAGCCGTGTAAAACCCTACAAAGGGCCGCTGCCAGGACAGCGTGTAGACCGGCCCGGACCGGTTGTAGTCACCCAGGAAGGTGAAGAAGAGTTCCAAGTCAAACAAGTGGTGGATGCACGCTTGAAGCGTGGAAAATTAGAGTTCCTAGTCCTATGGAAGGGCTATGGCTATGGAGACGAGGCCAGAACGTGGGAACCAAAAGCCCATCTGGACAATTCCCACAATGCTGTCCAAGAATTTTATTCTAGGAATCCCTCAGCTCCTAAGAAGCTTAGAGGCATGGATTCAACCCTTTTTAACTCCCTTTTTCAACCTATGCCCAAAAACTTCACCACTACCTCCGGCACCTGGTCTCGCCTGGAAGTCGAACCTTAAAGGGGGGGTAGTGTTATGATACACAATTTTGGACCTTCAAATTTCATTCTCCTCTTTAACTTTCTTCTGTAGTTTTCACACACTGTGCCATGTGGCACTTTCCATTTTGTTCAAACTCCACCTTCTCACACTGCGCTGCCTTCTTCCTTATTTTAGCTACAAGTCTGTCACGCAGTGGAGCTGGTCACACGGGCTGTGCCTTATAACATCATCAGCCACTGCCTCCATCAACTGTACAGTACACATGTACAAAAAATCTGTAGTAGTATATATACCCCAATAGATCAAGGAGACTCCTTAGTGAGTCCTCCTGTTGTTTACCCACAACAAACTCGGTCCTATTTAAAGGTTAACCACTCCCCTCACTTTTATATAGCTTTGTCTGAGTTGTGCACCAGAGTATACAAATTCTTGGTTGTAACATTGCTAATATTTGAATTGGGAAGGATCACGATCTTCTAGAAGTCTTCAAAAAAGACATCTCATCAAAAGAAAGGTGTGCCTTGATGGTAATAAGCACTATTTATGCAAAGATGGGCTTTTACATTATAAAGACAAAATCTATGTGCCTATGTCTGCAAGGATCAAGGCAATAAATGTACATCTTGATACACCTGGTCACAATGGCTGTGCTTTGTGACATCATCAGCTACTATATCTATCATCTGTATAGTACATATGTACAAACAAACCTGTAGTAGTATATATACTCCAATAGATCAAGGAGACTCCTCAGTGAGTCCTCCTGTTGCCTACCAACAACTAACTTGGTCCTACCCTAAGGGAGTTATCCACTCCTTCCTTTACCCTTTTTTGCTTGTGTTAGTTATGTGCCAAAGTGTAAAAACTTTGGTTGTTACAGCTACTTCCATGACATTGAGAATTTTATATAAGTACTCACATTGTGGTAGTGTAAGTGATTGTTGATGCACTTTGGTAGAGAATTATATTATATAATAGTAGTCCAGTATTCCTAAGCTTTGTAGTAATCCAGTGTTCCAGGGCTTTGTAGCAGTCCAATACTCCCAGGCTTTGTAGTAATCCGGTGTTCCTGGGCTTTGTAGTAATATAAAATCCCTGGGCTTCTACTTACTCCCAGTATTCAACTACAATGTGCTCGTGCTTCACCCTTTTCATTGAGAAAGCTACAACAAATAGCTACAAACTTGCAACAGTGATGCACCCAGATCAAGACAGTTTTGCTACTATTCCGCATTTATAACTGCATAACATGATCATGTGAAGGTACTGACCATCCCAGGGTCTCCACCCCATACATTGTATGTATATACTCTCTCATGTTATATGCAAAACATATTCTCTCGCCACAGCAGGACCAAACCCTGTGATTCAATAATTTCCCACTAAATGCACAAATAGTCCCACTATCAAATTTGAAGCAAAAACCTGCCCCAGTGAGCTCCGGAAAAGTTATTTTTGGCCAATGGGATATTATCATGGGGGTTTTTTGACTTCATGTGCTCTGTGTTAAAGTTTCTGTCCATGTCAAAAGTCCTCAAGTGATACTGCCTGAGGGGGTCCTGCTTCTAATCAAGCAAGACATTGATACCCAGCTGAGGGAAAGCCAGGAAAAACAATGCTAGAGACCATGGGGAAGGGTGAGAGCCGGGTTGGTGTGCAAATTCATGCCAATGCATATATTTCACATGTCTCCACTACCGGGACACCCTCATGAACTCCTGAGATTTATTCTAGAGGGGGAAAATATCATTGAGGTTCCCTGGAAGTCTAGAACTGAGGGACACACTGGGACCTTGTGCAGGAATACACTGTTTATCACATGCCATATCTTGGAATAGAAAGTCATTACAAAAATTTTACATTCCTTGTTATTGATTAAGGAGTCATCAAGTAAGACAAAGGTGAATGCTGTTTGAGGCTTCTTCTGACTTGCCGGGTACAACCCATTGGACAAGAGCTGAACATCTGAGCAAGCAGCATTGGGACAGCTACACCATCTCACAGGCAAATGATGCACACAATATCTGTCTACTAGAAGCATCATTGTGTTGCCATAGATGTCAGTGGAGCCAGTCCTTTTGAGCATATCACCTATTGTAATTACTCTTTTATCTTCCCATAATTCTCCTTCCTCATTGTCTGATGGGGCATCTGGAAAATTTTCCCAAGTATCATCCGCCCAGGAATCACCCCCTGGCAAGTTGTCTCTGCTAGACTATGGTTGTCATCACATCCCAAGCATGGTTTCCCAGTGTGGCCCGGATAAGTTACCAAGCTGGCTCTATAAAGTCAAGAAGATTCAAAATGTGTGCCCATACATTGCTTGACTCTATGAAATGATAACCTCTGGTGAGCATTGCTACAGCATGACATGCAAAACTCTGGTTTCCCAAAACATTCTGTGCACTGCCAAATTCCTTCTCTCACTAAACAAAGGCTGCAAGTCTGTGTTAGAATATACTCTGCCATACCAATGCTCTGTAGGATAATACCTCTGATTTGTAAGCCAGCCCAGCATGCAGCAGCTATACTGTGTAAGATGACCGTGGTTGCATGTCATGTTTAAGATCCTATGTTGTAAAATCTTGGCCATATAGCTCAATTGGTGTAACAACCAAGATTTTGTTACTCTGGCGCACAACTAGAACCAACTATAGAGATAATGATGAGGGAGTGGTTACCCTTTAGGCTTCAACAAGTTAGTTGTGAGGATACAACAGGAGGACTCGCTGAGGAGTCTCCTTGATCTATTGGTCTATATGTACTACTACAGGTTTGTTTGTACATGTGTACTGTACAGTTTGGTAGAGGCAGTGGCTGATGATATCATAGGGCACAGCCCATGTGACCAGCTCCACTGTGTGAGAGATTTGTGGCTAAAATAAGAAGAACGGCAGCGCAGCGTGAGAAAGAGGAGTTTGAACAAAAGAGAAAGTGCCGCATGGCACAATGTGAGAAAACTACAATAAAAGGTTAGAGAGGAGAATGAAATTTAAAGGTCCAAAAATGTGTTATTGTAACCATTGGTAAAGAAGCTGGTATGTATCCAGAAGGTTCCAGGTTCAATCCCTGGTCTGGTCAATATCCAATTTTATCAGTCTGTCCTGTGGTCCGCCCCTCTTCCTGTATGAGGACTTTCAGATACTCTGAACAATGATCCAGCCATTGTCTCATGTAATTGTTTTATGACTAAACTAATGTCAGACAAACAATGAAGGATGTACTTACTTAATGGACTTGCATTCCCTAGAGGTATACCCAATGGCTCAAGGACAGGATGGTCAATGTCTTGGATGGGGAACATATCATATTTATGAGGAGTTTGACAGGGTGTTGACAAAGTTGATCAGGACATGTGGTCTTTCATACTTATTTGTTTTGTACACACACCTCTGTTTGCTTTGAACTCCTTCCAATGTACTCTTTGTAACACTGGAGCCAAATGTTGGGAGGAGCTGTGGCTCATGCTAACTAATTCTGAAGAGAAGAGATAATGTTGTTAAACCAGACACCAGTTTCAAGATGCTCATACAAAATATTTATGATAGAAGGCAGTGATCAATATGGAGCCGATGCTTCTAATTTATGTTAGCTTCTATGACACCTAGGCCTTATAAGGCTAATTAACTTAATGGATCTGGCACTAAATTTCCATATATGAAAGCAATATATCAGAGAAGGCATTAGCTGGGAGGTAACTGACATGTTCCGGGCCTTAGCTGAAAACTCAATATGAAGTTAAGGCAATAATAGTATTGCTCAGATCTGACCAAAGAGCCAAATATTTGCTTGGAATGGATGAACATGCTACTCAAACAACTGAAAATTTGCACTCAAACAGAAAAAAAGGTGGTTCAAACACACACCTTACTTTTTGACTTGTACCACATTTAATCATGCTTGAAGTATTTTTTAATGATGCACAAATTAAAATACTCAATACACATTTGGAAGAGTTTTGGGGTGCAAGTTCTCTACAACAGAGACGTGTACTTAATGATACCTGCAATAAAGTCAGGGAAAACTTGGGGGAACATGTAATAACCAACATCAAGGAACTAACAGACATGAAAGGGGTATAATCACTCTTAATTGTCAAAGTATATCATTATGTTTACAATTAAAATTGCAGCAGGTCAGGTGTTGGTTGTACAACCATAGTGGTAACAAAGAGCCTGGGAACAAGGTTGTCGGGCATAGAAAATATGTAGGTCTGAATCAAGTGCTCAACACTGTAAAGAAGAAGGAGCTGAAAAATAATAAAACTAAGTGAAACTCAGCCGCTGCCCGAGAGGCTATAGAAACGACTTTATTATTTACCTAAGTGAAACTATAATAGGTGTTAGTTTAAGGTGATCTCTAATAAATGTAATGTAACATACCTCAGCCGCTGCCCGAGAGGCTATAGAAATGACTGAGGTATTCCTATACTAAACCCCCTACTACTTATAGTCGGAGGTGCTACTCGCTACAGTATAATGACTCCTAGGAGTACAATTGTGCTCCTAGGAGAACAATGGCTGCTTTGGCAGAGACTGGGTTTATCCGGTTTTGTCAAAAAAGAGGATGTGGGACCTTTACAGAGTGAAGCTGGGGCAGTCAGGGTATATTAGTAGACTGCAGAGGGTCCTGAAGGCAATGTTGACTGAGCTCTGCAAGGTGGAGCTGGCTGAATTAAAAGAGAAGTGTGAGAAGTGGTATATTAATGGGCCATCAGAGGAAGTGAAACAAAAGTGAGTATGATTTCCTTTACTCACCTGTGATAAATAGTTACTCAAGGTACCCAGAGCTGCTGAAATGAAAGGTAGGAAAGTAGTGAAGGACTTTCAGATGCAAGCAAGCCGGAATCTGGGAATGTTGAGTTTTGTGCTCACTGCTCATAGAGATACAAATGGAACCATTTGCGTGTTCTTGTAAGTAGTCTATGGACCCCAGGTTTCAAATCAGGTGTATTGTTACTAAAACTGATCACTTTAATTGCAGCCATGAGCAAAATAATGAAGCCGAGTTTGAGCTAATTAGCAAGGCACAACCCAACTGGCAAAATGTAAAGATATGGGAGGCTTGGGGCAAGTATGTGCAAAGTTAGTTTAGTAAGTTTCCATTTTAATTAATAAACATCCCAGAGTACTGAATTGTATGTAGCTGATATAGATGGGTCTGTGCCAAAGGAGAGCCTACCAAGCAAGTAGAAAGAATAGATCAAGCTTCCACTCGACAATAATGGATATCCCATCCTTGTAAATGAGGATCTGTCATCCCTGGCAACCTTTTCAGATCTACAGGCTATTATCAGGTCTTTTCTGACAACACATTAGCAGATTTCCACTGGAGACACCAAGGCTTCAGTACCTTGGACCAGCCTTGTGGAGTGCCCTGGAAACTATATTGACTTGTCAAAGGGGTACATACCTCTGGGGTACAAGTTTTGGGAACCATCTTGTATGACAAAGCAGGGGACAGACCCAGGGTCTGTTGAACCATAGGTATAACTTGCAGGACAATATAAATGCCAAACTTACCTTCAGGTTCAAATCTAGTTTGCACCCAGTAGCCAATAAAGGGAAGAGTAAAAAGAAGGCAGCAATGAAGAGAGCCCTTCTCAGAGCAAGGATGGTTGCACCAAGAAGCAAATCCATCAATATGGAACAAGAGAAGATTGAGAGGCTTGATAAAATACTAAGTGAAGATGAAAGTGGTGCTGAAATTCAAAACCAGCCCGGGCCCTCCAAACCAGCTGCAATGCAACAAAATGTAGCCTTCCAGGAATTAACAACCAGGCCTGGGCCCTCCAAACCAATGCACAACCCCGTTTTGGCTTCTTCTATCTCAGGGCAGCAATCTATAGGTGTGGAAGAAGCAGACAACAACAGTCCCCTTCTGTTACAATACACAATTTTTGGACCTTTAAATTTTATTCTCCACTTTAACTTTTTTTTGTAGTTTTCACACACTGTGCCATGCGGCACTTTCCATTTTTTATTCAAACTCCACTTTCTTGCGCTGCACTGCTTTTCTTTATTCTTAGCTACAAGTCTCTCACACAGTGGAGCTGGTCACATGGGCTATGCCCTATGATATCATCAGCCACTGCCATCATGAACTGTATAGTACACATGTACAAATAGCCTGTAGATGTATATAAGCCCCAATAGATCAAGGAGACTCCTTAGCAAGTCCTCCTATTGTTTACCCACAACTAACTTGGTCCTATCTTAAAGGGTAACCACTCCCACTTATTTCACAACTGCTTGTCTGAGTTGTGTGCCAGAGTATACAAACTCTTGATTGTTACACCAGCATACTTCTATTACACACAAGTCCCAGAGGAAGTTCTTTGCCAGGTTATGTACTGAGGAGGAATACCTGAAGTTGGTGGACGCAGTGTACCAACTGCCAAAAGTCAAGCCTGGGCCTGGCTCCCAGAGCCAGAGGATTACTTAGACTACTGGCCGTCATGGACTTCTCATGGAGCTATGCCCACAGTATGATTCCATTGGAGATTCACCAAGACAATGGAACCCAAAACCTCTTGAGGTGGCTCCACATACAGCCTTATTGGCCAGAGTATCAGAGGCCATACTGCTATGGCCCTGATATATTTGGCAGTAGGAATGTTGCTCCGGGACCTTCATACAATCCAATTTGCTGACAAGGACAACAACCTGGCATGGTCATACATTGAGTTTGCCATGGTGGGTGGAACTGTCCTCCCATTCTGTAGAGACAAGACTACTGCAATACAAAACAGCTTGAAATCCACCTTCCCTAACAAGGCAAGGCCACTACCTAGGATATCAGGAAAACATAATTTTGCTATGATTGGATATAGTTTGGTATGATTGGGTAATAGACCAAATATAGCATTTGTGGCAAATAGTGCGCTATAGATTGATATAGATGTCACTACTGTTACATATAGAGTACTTTTATTGCAATTAAAGCCAATCAGATCAGTTCAAATTTGTCAATAATAAAATAATGGACTTCAAGTTACTATACTATGACAGATGAATTCTATACTACCATATTGTTTGGTATGCAAATTTACTAGCTCAATTATTAAGTAAAAATGATTGACAAACATCCAGTACATTATCTGTCCTCCAAGTAGATGGCCAAACACTTTCAGGTCCAGTAAGAGGAACCAGATGACAACTTTGATGTATGTTCCCCAGTAGAATAATAGCACCAGGCGCAAAACTATTTGCCTGAGGGACTGGCTTGGTAACAACGTACATATTATGAAATTTCCCAGGATTTCTAGATATTTTGTACCACTCCACGTAAGCCAAAGGGCCTTTGGGCCATGAATGAGGTGCAATGTTGTAAAAATAAAGGATATCTGGGAGTGAGAATATGACCCTCAATCTCCCAACCTTCATCCCTATAGTGACATAGTAAGCAAAGAAGCAGTAGAGGGACAATACAGTTTGACGTACCTTGCAGGCCTGTTGCCTCTGCTTCATCAGTATGTGCTACAATAACAGCATCAAATCTACCCTCCTCTCCTTTTTTTCCAGGCTTGGCCTTTATACCGTCCATATTTTGGATGCTATCTATATTATTACCCAGACTATCCAACACAAATTTGAATGAGTGCCAAATATTTAGTCGATCAAATGGAAGCTAGGCCAAGGCCACTTGATTTCTAGGGCTTGTGTTCCCTCTGTCCATGAATTTGTTAAGGAAAGTATGTAGGTGATATGAGAAAGATGGACATTAATGACTTGTTTGAATGCTTTTCAGTGTTTGGCCAGGGGAATGTGGATGTTTAGCCAGGAAAATAGATAGGGGCTTGGATGAAGGCAATGAACTGGCCTCTATACCTCCTTCCAGCTCTGCCTGCTTCTCTTCTTCTCTCTTGTAGTTGTTCAGGTAGCTTTCAAACATAGCTACTTTCTCCTGCCTACCAAGCCACTGAGTCATCTGAGGAACTTTGTCACGGAAATTTGATGCCCTCCAGCCTTCATTGGCAAAATCTATGCGGAACATTTTAAACATTTCTGTGTTGTAATGGTTGGTGGTGCCAAAATTTCTAATACATTCAGCATAGTGTAGCATGGAGTGAAACTTGGGAATGTTGAGATTTTCTCGTATGCCAAGATGGACAAAAATGTGCTTGTTGGCATGATAAAGATCCAAGGAATCTTCCAGGTATTGAATGGTGGTATCATGGCTTGCATATTGTGCAATGTAGATAAAGTCAAGGAGTGCCCTATAACAAGTTACGACCTGAGAGGGGACCTTCCCTACAATGCACCCCAGTAAAATCCTCGCCATATTTTTTCTCTCCGTCCCAGATATCTGGGATAGCTGTGACCAACCATACCTGAAAAGCAAGGTGGAAGTCTACAAATGCTCATCCAGCTCTTTTTTGGTCATCAAGCTAGAACACCAGTGAATCAGATGTTTTACGACACCTTGGTAGAGTATATCAGGGGTTATGGCTATGTGAATGTCGCAATGAGGAAACCCCTCCCAGAAAGGATGACGGACACCCCCAGACACATTTTGAGCTTTGCATCTCTCCTGGAAATTGCTGATAGAGGTTGTATCAGCTTTGGCTGTCAATATAACCTCAGCAGTCTTCTTCTGGGTCCTCCATCTCCCTGGACAACTTTCTCCCATGGTATCTTCAGAGGCATTGCATTTAGGACAGGTCCCATATTTTGCACAGGTGACAAGACATTGTTCTAAATAATCAGCTATGTAGCAGGCTAGGATGGAATAGATCCTCCCAACCCTTCTATCTCCCCCTGTGACTTCCATTCCACGCTTGCCAGGTTCTATCAGAGGCTCCAAGGCTATGCGCATTGAGTCATGAAAGAGTTGTTGAATATGTGCTGACTTTTGCTTTTTGGATAGATCGTCTCCTACATTTTTGCTGAAAAAGAGAGAGGCAATGATAATACAGGCGTGTTTGGAAGGTTTACGGCACATAGATCGGGGCAAATTTCCCAGAGTTAGATACACTGGATAAGCAGACTTGTTGCCAGAGAACTGGGTGAGTCGCATCTTATCTGTGGCTATGATAACAGGGGCTACACAGGCACCTTCAGGTAAGTGATGTCATGCACCAAAGTTGATTGGTAGCATGTACAGGTGTCAATAACAAAGCAAATATTCAAAAAGACTTGCCTTTGCACCACACAGGCACAGTGCCACGTGGAATAGTAATTAATATTGCCTTTTTCAATCTTGTGGCTGATCAGCACCACCTCTATTAGGCAATCCAGTCGTGCTCACCTTTGCTTTCCATTCGGTAAATTTCCGTGTTTCGGCATTTTGGCAAATTTTTGTGTCGCCACTGGCTACACATTGCATTGCGCCCTCGCCTTCATTGTTTCCCTTCCTCCTTCTTTGCCTAGCCCCACCATGGGCCCCTTCCTCTCCTTTTTATTCTCACCCGACGATTGTTTCTGGATCCCCATTCTAATCCACCTCTTTGTCACCTCCAGCCTCCTCCTCCTCATCTTCTTTGTTCCCCCACCATTTCTGATGTCACCACTTCCTATCCGCTTCCGTCGCCAATCCGTTGACTACCATGTGCCACTGCTGATATCAGCAAAGCCCTGGCAGCCAGTCCAAATAGGGCAACAGGTCCATCTTCATGACATCAATCTGCCATCATATACTATCAAAACATCAGTCGCTCGTCTTGTCTGGTTAGACTGGTTGAAGTGTGGGTGGGTAGTTTTTGAGCTGGAGAAGGTTCATTGCTATCCCATTCACTTTGGTACACTTATCTTTTATCCATTGTCTTCGCTACAGCTACACCTACCACATGCTGCCTGGGACTCACTTGTTCCAAATTAGAACTACTCCTCTCCCTCCCTCGTTTGTCCAGGTGGTCCAACACCACCAGTCCATTGGTAAGGCCATGGAACCGTCGGATTTGGACTAGGTGGTGGACTGGTGGCTCCAGTCTCTTTTTTTTCAGCAGAACATTCATTTGCAGTGCAATTATTTTGATTTTTGAATCATTTTTATGGACACATATTTTTTTAGAATGCCTGACTGACAATAACGGAACTGTGTTAATACTGATAGTGTTTTGCCTTGCCCTTTTTTTTACTTCATCTTCCCATGACATCATGATTTTCCTGCTCTCTTTTTGCTATTGGACTTTACTTTATGACTGTACAAACCTGTGACATTACTCACAGCATTCATTGTTCTATCCCTTTCTTTTCCTTTTTTTGACAATTTTATCCTGTACTACCTATGCAGGATTTGTCAGCGTACATTCCTTCCTTCATGTTATTTCTCATTCTTTTTGCAGAGCTATACTGTGCATAGCCTACTTTTCTTTTACTATATAAACCCCTGTATTCTACCTTGTAAAAAAAAAAAAAAAACAAGAAATCCAATCCAGATTTCTTCTCTAAATCTCAAGTTCACTACTCTGCTACTTGTGATCCAGTGTAGTCACAACACTTCCCACTGTTACTACTGTTGACTGCTGTCATTGTCACTCGTCATTTTTGAAAGTGATTGTCATCCCTTTTGATTAGAGTCCTTCTGAGCACTACAGTTTGTGCGTCAGGAGCCTGCTATCACTGGAAACCTTGTTATCTTGTCATTCTCAAACCTACCTTGTGCTAAGACTAGCAAGGTAGTGCTCATCCTATATTTGTCTCAAAAGCCCCTATCTTCTATAGTTCAACTATCCCTCCTCCTCAAAACCCACACCCATACATCTCTGGGTTTTACTTTGAAGGATCGTCATACATACCACCCCACAAACAACCAGAGCACCCACTGTTCTAGGAGGCAAAACCCATAAACAAGTTCCGTGGAATCTGGGAGGATTGTGTATTACTTTGTTTTGTGTGTGGTTTTCTAACAACAGTTCTCATCATTGACAGCGATTCTAGATGGGAATATTATCGTCAAATATCTGAAATGACACATTTAGATTCATGCCACCTGCCTGTACTGTGTTCTACCAATCTCTGGTCCACATCTCATTGTAAATCCTGTGAGATTTTGAAGCATTGGTGAAGATATGCTTGGGCCTGTAGATAATGTCCTTGGCATGAGCTGGATTTCTTAGCAAGGACTTGATAGCTTCAATATAATCAAGATGATAAACTATATGCTTATGCTCGGGACTATTCCTGAACCACAATTCTCTAGTTTTCCAAGTAGCATGTTCTGGAACACGATTGACCAGCTTATGGAGCCCATATATATTATGGTAGGATAGACCTAATTTATCCGCCACCTTCGTTGAAATAGATAAATCAGTATATGTGCTTGAAAGAGAGAAGAGGCAATGTACCCCTGGTATTGCCATTAATCTATCAAATGATTTATGGCCTATTCCATCCTGTATAGCCCAGCAAGCAACCCTCCAGTCTAGCTCTGACGCAAAGGGTGCAAAAATGTTCCCTGATCCATCTGACATATCTGAATCCATATCCATATCACCATCCATATCCTCAGCTCCAAATTCTCTCCTCCATCTTTCATATACTGTTTTATCCATCCTAATCACCTTGCCTGCAGTAGGGTAGGGTACCTCAATACGCTCCTCATCATCTTCATCAGGAAGCTTTGAGGGTCCAGCCATATTCTCCTCAGATTCTGTGGGAATAAGGTCATAGAGACAATCATAGTAGTCATCCACCACGTCTTCTGGGTCTTCATCCATAGGTCTAAGTTCATCAGATAACATGTCAGGTACTTTCTTTATCTCCAAATCATTGCCCCTATCAAGTTCTCCTGGAATTGTCAAACTTTGTAGCTTCTCTTTGTTATACCATTTGCAGCTTCTTGCTGATGACAGATGGGATATCAGGCCCTGGGGAGTTTTAAGCTTCTTGTGACAAGCAGGACAGATTGTAGGATCCTCCTCCGTAGACTGGGCAGATGTGAGCTCAACTTGAACATTCAAAGCCTGAAGTGATCGTAGGCCAACCATAATGAGATGCTAGACGTAGAAAGGGAGGCGCCTACTGGATCAGATGGATGGATGGGTGTTTACATGACAAGCATAATGACAGCAAAGGTCAGTGAGGCAAAAATATAACAGTCTGAATACATATCATCGAACCTAAGTATTACATGTAAAGCTACAGACTACACTGTGACTGATAGCAATATATTCCATAGGCACAGTTCAGGATTTGTTCATAATCGTAAAATAAAAGACAAAAAAAGTACCTCATTTTACTTTTTTTGCCTGCTATGGGTGCATGTTGATCTCAGGCGCTTGCTGACAGGCTCCTCCCCTTCATTTCTATCTATCTGAAGTGTGTTTAGTTCCACTTGAAGGCTTGCTGGGCCCAGATATGGGTGGGTCTGGGGGACTGTGATGGTCAACAGGCAAAGACAAGAGAGATGGTTTCTTCATGTCTTGGAGCTGCAGCTGGAATCTCTCTCTTCCAGCAGTGATAACCTCCACAGATGCTCCCACCCTATCAGACTCATGCTCAATACCGTTCCTCATATCTTTCACAATATCCACCATCTCCTGGTGCAAAATATGTTTGGGGGGAGGACTATAAAGTATGTTGCCATCGCCACTAAATGTTTCACTCCACATGAACGCACTGAAAAGCTTGACCATCCCTGCCCTGACAGACACATGCCTGCGGAAATAAGGGTTGATGCATGCCATAAAGTGTAGGCGCAAGAGTATAACTTTTTCCATTGCTACTGTGTTGGCATCAAGCGTGTGGCACCCCCATTTGACCCAGACAGGAATATTGTCTCGTTTGCTGTGAGAAGAAAGTTACGACTGATGAGATGGGATATTTAAGATGCCTCCCTTAGTACTGTTGCTGGGGAGATCCTCTTGGTAATCAGAGATACTGTGATGCTGATAAGACGGTGACTTTGAAGGCTTCTGAGATGCTGAGAGCTTTGAGAACACAGTTCCCTTCCCTTTCTACTTCTGAGATGCTGAGCCCTTTAATGATGCAGGTGCTTTGTCAACCTCTGCTGCAGCAGTTTCCTTCTCTTTCTCAACCCAGTCAATTTGCAGACAGTAGGGACCTTCGCAGTTAATCATGATCAACCATAGCATCCAGAAAACAGACTCCAAATTGTGGATGTAATTGTGTGGTACTTCAGGCTGTAAAATTCTCCCTATAGCTTGGTAAGGATAAGTCCCCTATATTTGGGACATATCAGTAAAGATTCTAATATAATTGGTTTTTAAATACTCACTGTAAGAGATTTTGTGGTCTTAACCGTGTCTCCATCTTGAACGTCTTCAGCCATTGCCTAATCTCCTAAGACACCAGGACACTGTGGATACCAGTCATTACTGACGTCGATGGGCCAATCTGGGACAGCAAAATGGGGCAAAGCAGCCTTGACTTGAAGCCATGAATTGCCATCACTAACGTCGCAATGAATGAGACCACGTCTCATGTAACCATTCTGAAGGCCTGCATAGCCAGCCAAATATTAGCAAGTGATGAGATGAACATAAATAATCCTTGGTTTACCAAGTAAAACACCAATGATCCCATCTAGCATTTCACATACACAGGAAAACCACACACGTTCTACCCCAACTGTTTTCATGGCCATGTGATAATGTGTACAGTCCTCCAAGGCTGCTAACTCTGCCAACTCTGAAACTCCAGCAGCACTCATGATAACTTTGGTTGTGTCCTGAATAAGCATCTGAGGATGTGCGATAGATGGCACAAGGGTCAAGGATGGTGAAAGATGATGGTCTCGTATTGGAATTCCAGACAAGAACTGTATGTCATCCCAACCAGTGTTTGCCCTATTATATAAGGCATCCACGTCTGGGTGTCCAGCTAATATGATGTCGTCAAAAGATGCAAGAGGCTGAGATGTATGATTGTCAGGAAAATGAAAAATGGGCGTGGAGTTGCTTGGATTGTAGCCTACAAAGAATGGATCCCTTGCAAGATCTTCTAGCTTGTCGTGAATGTCGCTGTTGGAAGGTGTACCAGTGGTTAACCAACAATCCTTGATGATGATGTGATCAGGATCTTCAAGTGCACAAGGCCCATCACCAGAGACCTCCGCCACCATAACCCTTGTGGCTCTTCCTAACAGGCCCGTCGGCTTGAAGAGGATTGCAACAACTTTACAGAGTAGAGTGGCTGTGCCTTGCTGAACATGAAACACTGGCACACCCTCATTGTCATAATACATAGCATGGCTAGGCTATTGGTCATAGCCTAGCCATCCAGTTTGCGAGTAATGTAGGAAGATCATGGTTCAGATGAATAGCTCTGGATATCTGTTGATATCAAATGGTGAACTGGTAGCATTTCCTCCTCTGGTGAATAACAATATCCTTAGCATTGGCCCACAAAGGGATAGTCCAACATAATATCTCCTGGGAACTTGCTCACGAAGGACAAACAACGCTGTATCTGCCAACTGTCCTATGGCAAGGTTGACAAGGTGAGGAGAGTCTGCGTATTTGACCTCGCCCATCCACGACATCATCAACAAGCATTAGGTCTGGTTTGCGTCTATCACACACCATCCTTTATGCAGATGACACCCATTGACATGACTTCTCGATTGAAGAATCCATCAAAGCTGACTGCAAGTCATCGTCAACAACCTAACCCACATCAAGCTAACAGGTAAGAATCACTCTGCAGATAAATCACTCACCTCCTGACACCAACCACACATAATATATCCACCAAGTTCAGGGCCTTTGGTATCCAAAAAATTGACAAGTTCTTCCACAATGGACGCCACAGTCTCCTTTGACAGGCTGTCAGAAAGCCTGGTATTTTGGGCAAGGATTTATTCTTGCATGGTGTGGGATGGTGAGTAAGTTGGCTGTGGCGTCTTTGACTGAGGGTGAGCATGAGCATGCCATGTTGCAGTATCAATAGCATGAGAATCTAGCTTGCTGGCAAATGCCTCAAGAAATTGGCCATCTTTTATCCATTGTTTCAAAAGGTAGGATACATCTGGGACCTTGTGGGGTTTTTGGAGCTGCTCAGAAAGGAACACGTAAAGGTAATCCTTTAAGTTGTAATATTGACCTTTTTTTTTGTGATGATCAATGAAATTATAGATCACATTTGAATTGGCCCAGAGTGGCATAGGTGGTGACTTGAATATGTGGTCAAAATCCACGACTTGTAAGTCAGAATAGCTATGCACACTTCACTGTTTGTGTATTTCAACATCTATCGCCTTGTGAGTTGCAATTTTATTCAGATTATGTGGCCATACAAAAGATGACAACTATTTCTCCTTCAATCAACTAGTAATCTTTCAGTGAAAAATGAGAGACTTACCCTGTATCTGTAGCTTCAATTTATTTGTGAAGCTTGGGAATTGGCTGGAAGTCCAGTGTTACGATGGCCATGTCCCAACTACAAATTGGGTAAGTAAAATTTTCCCACATGCAGAATAGGGTGTTATGCATATGTCTGGATCCATCAAGTAATTGCATTGGAAAACAGAGAGAAATCTGTCAAGTAGAATGTTAGTAATGTGTGCAAGTCAGCGTGAAGGGGTTGAGGGGTGTCTGCAGTTTTCTGAGTGAGTAAGATATATCAGTCACTTCTATCTCTGATAACCATTAATAGGTTAGTATTTCTGGTCCCATTCCTTTCATAATAGCGTGATTTGACTGTAGCAAGGTTGTAAAATGGGCGTGAGAATGTTGTCCACAACATGCGGCGGGTAGGGCCAAATTGTGTCACACAGCGCCAGAGAACCTCTCAGCAAAAAGTCTCAAAATGCAAGACTCACACAAAATCTTCGAAGTTTCACTATCCTAACCTGTCTAGAGAGTAGCCAGGATCAACACATGCAGCTAAAAAGAAGACTCCAAGATCTTCTCTCACCGGATGCCGGACCTCCCATTTCATTGCAAGGACCGGATGGAGATAGGCCGCTACCCCAGCAATGCCCTAGAAATGGTGTGGCTTTAGTAGCCGGTAGCAGATGGAAAATTGGCAGGAACGTTGCACGCACCTCAACTGCATCTTCGGATGCCATCATTTCCACCATGGCCACAGCTCATTTCAACTCAATTTCCCTTAGTCCTGCTCAATGGATCGATGATATCAAGGCCTTTATTTCCTGTGGGACTTGGCAGGGATCTGGGTTCAATCATTTGGAGGACGCTGTTTTGCTCTGCTCTTGTTTCATTAGTCATGAGGTAGGCACGTCTTTCATGATGATAGTGAGCAAGATTAATCTTGCTGTGAAGACTCACAGGTAAGTGCAATGTTATAATTACATTTTGAATGTACACTTACATGAACTTGAGCCTGCTAAGTGCTGCAGGTCCTTACCAAAACCTCAAGGGCCTTTATGATGGCAAGGTAAAGGGCCTTGCTGGATGTCCCACTGAGTGTGACCCTGGAACAGATGGTAAGTCGCTCTGTCCTCCTCCTCACCCCTCTTCCATCCCCAACAAGCAGCTACTCACTTTTTATAAGGTGTTGGTGCTCTTGTCCATGCCCGAACCACCCCCACCATTGTGCGCCTATGCCAGTCCCTCCCGCTTACCTTCCCGGGTCTTTTCCTCAAGAAATTATTTTTTGATTGTATGTCTCTCAAAGATGCGGACAGGCTGTTCAATTCTGTTGAACTAAAGTAAGTCTTCAATTTCACTTATAGTATATTCCTGCTAATATCTATCTATGTTGTAGTATGTTTTGCTTACCCAAACACTCACGTCGTGCATGGAAGAACCGCTCTCTTTGGGCCACCCAGATGCCTTTTACGATGGACGTTGCAATGGATGACACAATGGACACAATGGACACAATCCCCTGCAGGATCAAGACAAAGTTTCAGCGCCTTGCAGAATACAACATTGCATTTCCAGCCAGCCATGACCGCTCAGAAAACAATCGGTGGACAATATCTGAGCGTGTCTTAGCATGCAATGCCCCTGCCATCACACATATGCAAGATTTGTCTGCCAAGGTAAGTTCCAGTTACTTTCCTATGCTCCTTTCTCATCTGATACTTGATATACAGCTATTTACATTTTATCCTAATGGATGCAAAAGGGATGGAGTTTATATACGCATTCCCATGTCATCTATTCCTCCAGTAATTGATATACGAAATGACGACAACACATTGATGGCAGTTATATACCATTCAATGCCTAGGCATATGAAGACAACTCTAGTGGCCCACCTCAAGACTAGTTTTCATGGGTTGCCAGTATTCTCCAGCGCTCTGGGTAATGAAAAACCTTTTAAATGTCTCCACTTCTCCTGATGGAACAGATATGGGACTCAGGTATGTTTCCCCCCTCTCTCTATATATATCACTCACATACAGACATTGATCAAGGGTTATGGGGCACCTATTGATGTGCACCCACATGAGTTAGAGATCACTAACAAAACCCAGATGATCCCTTATTTGTCAAAGGAGGGCTCAGACAATGAGCAGCTTTATTTGAACTTGCAGGATGCTTTTGCAGATGTTTTCCAATGGATTTCTGATGTTGTAAGATTTCTGCTATTTCTTTCATGCCTAAATTTCTCTAATGTATGTGTTTCCTAGATTGAATTCTGCCTACCATAAGAATACTCTATGCTAGCCAAGATAGTTGATACGCTCCCTGGAAAACCAGGATCTCCAGTCACTCCTTTTTTATCTCTTGTTGTTAATATTAATGTGAGCACCACTGCTCATAGGGATGGTAAGGATCACATTCTTTGTCTTGTTCTTCCACTGGGAGATTTTACAGAGGGTGCTCTTGTGTTACATGAGCAGGGACTTGTTCTTGAACTGAAAAGTGGGAACTTCGCCATTTTCAGATCTAAGGAGTCAACGCACTTTAATTTAGATTATCAGGGTGAGAGAGCCTCATTTTCCTTACACACAGATGGTCAGTTTAGGAATTGGGTAGAAAATAGGAATGGTTGGGAGGGGAATGCATTTTTAAGTAGATGTAGCTTAAAACTTAATATCAGTTTATTTGGGTTGCTTGTTCTGACTTATAGGTTTTGGAAGGGATAGAAGGGATAGAGGGGACGCAGATAATGTGTCATTTTGTGGGTCCCAGTATAGTTTGTTTTTGCTTATTTAATATGAATTACCATTCTGCTGAAGACACATCCAGGTCTTGTTATTTTTGCTTGTTTTTTTTTGAGGACTTCAATGCCTAGAGTTACATGGTCCAAACAATCTAATGCTCTCAGAACTAGGGGCAGAGGTGTATCAAATGATCTAGTGACAGCATCTTCTCCATCACCACCCCCCTTCAACTCAGCCTAGACAGCCATAGCCACGTCAAAATAAAAAGGTCTTTCTTATTTATTCTACACCAATACCTTACTATTTAAAATTTTCAGGTTATTTCTGCAAGACCTAATGCCACAGCTGCCACAGCACTCAGCAAAGAAGATGAAAATTTGCTTGGGGCTCTTCTAGCAAGAAAAAAGGCTGCATTAGCCTCAAAAGCTGAGGCAGAGAAATCTGGTATATGATCTTAATCTTAAGGGCACAAAAACTGAATATTTATTTGCAGCTATGTGTAAGAGAGTAGCAGCAATGTTGGCTGATGAAGAAGATTTTGAAGGACATGACCTACATGGCAAGAAAATATGTCTGAATGGTGATGATAATGGCAACAATGATAATGAGGATGTTGTTGATAATGATGACAATGCTGATGATGGCAAGAATATGATAGATCATATTCTGGGTCCTGTAGAAATATCTAGTGATGATCAAGATAATTCTGTAGTACCGCCTTTACAGGCTCTATCAGATGATAATAAGGAGGAGGAGGAGAAGGAGGAGAAGGAGGAGGACAGTTCCCCAAAAAGAGTTGTGGATGATAATGAGGTAAGACTGTTGTTGCCTTGAGAATATTTATTTACTTGCCTACAGGTTGTAAGAGGAACAGATTGTCCCACTGTTTCTACATCTACATCTACTATGTCACGCAGCCCCAGCATCATTTCTCTTCCAAAATCTTCCACTGCAAAACCAAAGCTTCATTCTATGGCCTGCCCTATCAACAAATGTATTGCAAGCCTGGCTCACAAAGCTATGAGGCTTTTTACAGTCACAGAAAAAGGATTTCCAAACCCCCTCAGTTGTCAATCAATATTCTGGGATTTGTTGGTCAAAGCCACAGCAGCAGAGAATGACAGTGGCCTGGTGGACAAAATGAAGGAGATACAAGATGACCAGGTCATCAAGTCTTAATTACTACAATATGTGAGTTAAAAATTCTTTATATATATCCACACTGATCATCACCATGAATACAGATGTGGAAAGGTTCTACACAGGTCAAAGGGGAACTTATTTCCAAAGCTAGGATCAGTGTACCCCCTACGTATGGCATCAAAAACACCCACAAGGACAAACTGAGTGATATGATCTATTGGATCATAAACTCAGGAGCTTTTATCAATAACAGCATAGATTCAAAGGTTAGTTATTTTAAAGCTTTATTGTTATACTTATACTAACTGCAAATATACAGGAGAAGATGTCTGACACAAGCCAACCTTGGAAGAATGATATCATCAAAATTCTTTTTCAAGCACAATAGTGGGGTCCCAAAGGTGAAGGTAGAAAGTATGGTAGAAAAAATAACCCATATCTGCGCAATCTCCCTACTTTGACTCTAGTAGCATGCTCTGTAAGTGTTTATATTTTTCTTTAAATAAAACTGGCAATCAAATTTATTTACCAGATTGAATGTGCTCTACTAGGTGCTATTAACAACACTGCAAGAAAATTCTCTGAGACAGCATTTTCTGCTAGGTACGTCACCTTAATCACCATACATCTATACTAATTATACTTTTACAAGGTGGGATCATTATATGAGGTTGTTGGAAATATTTCAGAAATGTTCTCCTACATAATTGGCAGCTGTTTTTGATGAGATTGATGGATATGTTTGGTAAGAGCTTACTACAAATTCATTATCATTCAAACCTTTTTTTTAACCTCAAGTATTTTTGTAGGAATGGTTGTATAACAGTGAGGCAATCTGATGTATCTGAGCTTATGTTTGATTTTGATGCTTAGAGGAAGCAGCAAAAGCATCCAAATCATAATTACAGATATTACAGTAGTGCTGCAGCATTTTAAATATTTAGAATCAATATAATTTGCTTTATTAGTGCTTTTTTTGGATATGATTAAGTATGGATTGATATAATTGCATTTAGAGTGAATTATAGTGAAAAAGTGCAAAGTCATTTTTGTTTTAACGACTGTGCTATAAACAACTTTTTATGATATAGCAATACTCTAAACTGATATTTATTGATAATCATGCATTTAGAGTAGGGGACTTTGCAAGGATCACACTTATAGATATAACAGATATTTTTGCTATTATAGCATATATTTTGCAATTTATTGTATTTATATATAAGTCACATTTTCCTGATGTGCTGTGCTAGGGACGACCATTGTATGTGACTGGGAACTGGGGACATAAAGCTGAAGTCTATGAGGTTCCGGCCACCACTTTGAGGAGTGACAGTGATAAAGACCTCACCTCCCAGGGGTGTATGGGGCCTTGGAAGCTGAGGTGAATCCCCTTGTTGGACCTCAAAAGGCCAGTAAGGAGGAGGCCCGGGGGAAGGACGAGTGGTGCCAGGAATGTCCAAAGGCATTTTTTCCTGCCTGAATTGATTTAGAGAGCCAGAAGGGGAAATGAGGGTGGGACAGAAAGGCAGGGATGGAAAGTCAAAGGGAGGGTTGGGGTGGGGGGGTGTAATGTCCAGGGGGGCATCAACAGCCTCCCGGGTATAAATTGGAAAGGGGCTGGGGGATGGAACAGACAATAGAGTCTGGGATGGCAATGGAAGCCTTGCCATGGCATCCAAAGTCACCCTGGAAGGAGAGGGGATGGCCTCCCTCATCCTGGTGATCCACTCAGGGCCAGGATGGATTGCATTGGCATCCATCTCCCCAGGTTCTTTATAGGACACCCAGGGAGGCCTCCTTGACTCCTGGGACATGAATTGTGTCTGTGGAGGAGGAAGAGGGAGTGCAGGGCAAGGAGCAGGTGGGGGTGGGGTGAGCAGGAGCCGGGATCACTGCTTGTGAAGGTGGGGGGACCCTGATCATGAATTGGGTCCCAATTGCTCCATGGGGCTGGTAGACCAGCTTGCATGCTCCCCAGGGCGGCCCAATCTTGATGGGATGGTCAGGAGCGGTGACCAGAGCCCCTGATGCTTCTGGCTTCTGGGACTTACTCCGCAGGCTTGTATTGTTGTCCCACATGCACTTGTACTTCTCCTGGCTGCACTTGTCACAGGATATCCTCCACTTCTTTGTCCGCTTACTCCTGCTTATGGTGCAGGCGGAATTGTCCAGTCTGCACTGCTTGTACCCCTCTTCCTCTGCAAATCCTCTACACCCCTGGTAATCTTTACCACCACCTTTCTCTTTCCCTTTCCCTTGCCGGTTGGAGGTGCTATGGGTGTAACAACCAAAATATGTATACTCTGGTGCACAGTGAAGACAGGCTCAAAGAGGGGTAAGTGAAGAAAAGGTTAATCTTCCTTAGGGTAGGACCAAGTTTGTTATGGGTAAATAACAGGAGGACTTGCTGAGGAGTCTGGTTGATCTATTGGAATATTTATACTACTACAGACTATTTGTACATGTGTACTATACAGTTGATGAAGGCAGTGGCTGATGATGTCATAGGGTGTAGCCCATGTGACCAGCTCCACCATGTGAGAGACCTGTAGCTAAGAATAAAGAAAGGCAGTGCAGCGCAAGAATGTGGAGTTTGAACAAAATGGAAAGTGCCGCATGGCACAGTGTGTGAAAACTATGAAAGAAAATTAAAGTGGGGAATAAAATTTAAAGGTCAAAAATTGTATATTGTAACAACAGGGTCTGGGTGCTGACCACTGATGTCCCAGGGTGTAGACATGTGTACTGAGGGCGAGATGGCCTTGAGGGCCCTGGAACAGGGGGTGAGGATGGGAAACACTGGGAAGGAGCTGCCCTCTTCACCCTCTTCTACGACACCACTGTCATGCGAGCAAAGTTGCGCTTTCTTTTGCCACTAGTGGGTGCCGGGGGGCTCTCAGACCATGCTGCTTTTGTTGCAATGGGCAGGGTGGTAAAGGGATGAGATAGAGCCACTGTGAAAAGGAACAGTCAGTAAGTAATCAAAAATGAATGAAAAAATAAGAAACATACTTTGCAACCATCACCTATTATCAAGAGCCTCCTTCCTCTCAGGAGTCTGTCTCCCGGGATCAAACCAGACAAATCCCTCCACCGTCTCATCTTCCTGGCTGATCATGGACAGATTAACTGCCCCTCCCTCATTCTCTCCTCTGCCAAACTGTGTGATGGCACTGAAAAGGAGCTGGGGGACATGGAAGTCATGCCCAGCGTCATTTCCCTCCTTTATTGTGTCTGTCCTACTCACTATTTCCTCCCTCAGCATCTCCATACACTGGTCACTGTATTGGACAAGAACCTAGGGCCAGTACATAACGGCCTTCCTGATGCGCTTTTTGGCTTTGTAGATCTTTTCTAGACATTTGGAGTGGTGTTTTGGTTGGGGATGTTGTCAGAACTGTGACCTTATGAGGTGTTTGGAGTTACCAAGTAAGGAGATGGAGTAGGGGAGTAACAGAGTACAAGATGGGGAATTGGCTTAGCTCATGTGCTAGGCCCTTCCGTGGACCTTGGTCCCTAACCCAACGGAAATGGACGGAGGAGGGTAGAGGATGAAAAGGGAGCAGAGTAAAGATCGTTTGGAGAAGGATCAGAAAGACATAGAAAGGGACTTGTGAAAAGGCAAGGGAATCTAGTTGATATTCAAACTGCAGGAACGGAGTACAGGAGATACAACTTATATACTGTCAGAGGAGTAGGGGCTCCTAAGGAGTAACTCATAATGTAGGTACAGAGTTCCATGCAGACAATTATCTAGGGAGAGAGAAATGTATGTGCAAGGAGTGTATCATAAGGCCTAAACTACAGAGGAGTACGGGAACATGCATAGGAAAGCATATGACAGACTAGAAATCCGGTGCAGGAGTATTGGAATGGGAGTCCAGAGTACCATGTGGGGGTGAGGCACAGTGTTACAATACATAATTTTCGGACCTTTATCTTTCATTCTCTACTTTAACTTTCTTTTGTAGTTTTCACACATTGTGCCATGTGGCACTTTTTATTTGGTTCAAAACTCCACTTTCTTGTGCTGTGCTGCTTTTCTTTATTCTGAGCTACAAATCTCTCACGCAGTGTAGCTGGTGATGGTGGTGAGTGTGCTGATGATAGTGATGGTGGTGTGTGTGAAAATAGTATTCTTTGTGGGCATTATTGTGATGGACGTTATACTGGTGCCCACAGACATTGTTGAAATTCCCGGGTGCATATGCATTATGTGCCAACTGCAGGAACCCTGGGGCAGACATTTCCTGCTAAAGTCAATATACACGTAGATAGAAATTGGACTCACCAGTATAGTATTGTTGGCACAAGTCACCTCAATAAATCAGTTAGCTGATACAGACATTATCGGTGTATTAAAGACTCACCTGAGCTGTACTTATGGCAGCGTTGCGTGTAGACTGAAAAATAGATGAATAGTAAATACATAAAGATTATACTAATAAGACACAACCTATGGAGTTACTCTGCCCTGAAGACTTGTCATATTGCGAGGAGTGCTTGGGGTTTTTTCATTTAGAATCTAAAAAACATATTGATATATATCTAAATACCAATTTGAACAACTGTACTTACCAGTGCAAGAGCGGTTGCAACAAGTATGGCAGCCATGGCCATGGCTACTGTTTCGGCATTATAGCACATTATAGTCTTGAAGTTGAGGTGGTATGTGTAGTTGAATGGTATGTAGCCAAACAGAGGATCCTGAGACAGTCTGGATTGGGACATGTTCAATCTGATTCATACATGCACTTGTCACATGTCACTCAAGGCACTGGCACGAGATGCGAATTATACACACTGATTAGAGAAAATGCAAAAATGAATTATGATATAGTCAACATGGACAAATTTTGGGACACAATGCTAGCAAAGATAATGTAAAAAAAATTAAACTACTACAGCTAAACATTCATGAGTAAACATTGAGTACAAGATCATTGTGACTAGTAATACTCACTGCACCCAGTTTCACTGACTTTGCCACTGACATAACTTTTTACAACTCAGCATCCATCTGTAAACTGATAGGTGTCTCTGAATCCGGAACTGCACACTTTTCCTGATGTTCCCTCTGACACTGGGCAGAGTAATGCTGGAAGAAGGTGTCAGAATAGAGTCTTTGGAGCCTGTTTTGTGAGAATCACCTTTGAGTCTCATGGCTGCAGCACTGCTTGAAGCCATTTAGGTTACTCGGTCCGAGTTGCTAAGAAGAATGAGAAGCAAAGTTAGTAAGTAGTCCTTGTTTATGCACAAATGAAGTTTGTAGTACCTGGCACATGGGTGTAAAGTTTCAACATGTTCTGTGGAACAAGATATCAACAAGTATTGCTAGTACAAATAAATAGATACTTAGGACTGATACCCTTCGAGATCTCTTGGACCAAATCAACCACTATCTTCAAATCAGCACCCATTTGTTCTTGCTTCGAGTTCAAGCGGTGCATTTCAGCAGTATGTGCTTTGCAAAGAACATTCATGCTCAAGGTATTTGCCTCCTAGATGCTACTGACCCTGGAGCTAATAACTGCCTGTTCTCACTTCAATCAACTAACATTGTTGGTGATACTGCTGACACTTGAGGTAATCACTGTCTGTTCTCACTTCAACCAACTAATGTTGTTGGTGACATTTAGACATGTGGTACTAATGCTAGATATATCCTGGGCCACCCCACATTGAGATGCAGTCAACTTGACTACACCTTCCTGGAGGCTACTGATTTCCCTCTGGTTGCACGAAGTGATCTGGACAATAGAGGTGGGATTGTTGTCAAGGACTGAACTGATCTTGCTAATGGAGGTGTTGATTTTGTCATCATCCACCTGCAGAGTACCAACCATCTGATCGACAATGTCAAGAAGCCCTTTGATGGAAGTAATAGTCAGCAATGGGATGCTGATGCTAGTAGTGGACATGGTGATTGTTGTGACCACAAATGCCAGTTGGCCGCTGGGAACAAAACAAGTTCAATGAAAATATGATTGCCTAGGCAAAACTTATCATAACAGCAACAATTTGTTGGCAAGGTCCAAATGTGGAACTTGAAGGCGCTAACTCTGAGTGCACTCATAGTCCACTGTGAGGTGTGAAAAGCACAATGAGGGTGGAGTATTGAGAAGTACCATGACACTGATAACCCAAGAGTTATTTTTTGATGACGCTATAAGAAGTCAAAAATTGGAGCCACTACACATTACAGTCATGATGATGTCTAATAGTCATCAGTTACGACAAAGCCAGGATTGAAATGCCCATTGTGACAACCAACACCAATTAGATTTAACTTGCCCACCATGAAGCTGTGGCAACACACTCATTTTTGTAGTGCCATCATAGAGCAAAATTGAAGACCTTTGGTTTGATTTTATAACTATTGATTTGTGGTAACTGACTTGAGATGATACTGTGATAACTAGCTTCAATTGTATCTTAGTCACTCACCATCGAACCATGATTGCTTAGGACAAGCCACTCTTTTGTCGTGCCATACATGGAACTATATTGAAGACGCACAGTCAAGTGCTCCAGCACTTTTTAGCGCTGTCGAGATCAAATATAGATACTCCTTCGTATAGTAATTCTTGTCCAAACTTCGTGCATCAAATTAAGTGCCATGTTGTGAGGAATTTCCTGATGCACTTGCATTTCATAAGCCCATTTAACAACGACTCCCCCATATCTAGGTAAAAAGTCGGCAGGTAGCCGATAAATTTGCCAGATATTAACAGGGCGAAACTCAGTAAATAGGATTGCAATGCAATGTCCAACAATAGCAAAAGCAAAAAAGTCATAACACTTCAATTTTGCGCTCACAACCGCGCCCACATTTGGGAGGACAACAATAATCAGAGAAAACAGTACCCTATTTCTTTTTGTTTGCTTCCTCTTCTTCTTTCTGCACATAAACAATCCTATTAGGTCATACAAGAAAGAAACAACTGAATGGCTAACTTTAGCAGCACGGACTTTACGTGCGCCGTCATATCGAGCACTGGCACGAGCACCACGTAGACTTCGATAAGCCCTAAACAATCGTTCCTCTTCGGTAATTGCACGTGGAGCGTCCAATGTATATGGATTAACTAAACGCGTGTTGAATTGTGTGCTGACAACCTGAATATCGTCACCCTGTAAGAGCTAGTCAGCCAACTTATGCCGCACATAATATATGTACGAAGCTAACAGTAGAATCGCCCTTCTTAGGCTTCGAAGTTTTGCGTGGAAAAACAACTAGCTTCTCTTTATATGCCGCCAAGCGTTTAACGTTCATCTCTTTTCCGTCTTCACTTAAGTTTCTCCTTCTATGGTCAACAACAATGCCGATGCCGCGCGCTTCCCTACGATTGATGCCAGCCTCCCTTAGTTCGGCATAGGTAAACCCTCGGCCAAGCCGAATCTTGCGATTGTATCGCACTGTCTGGCAGTGAACGGCAGGGCGTAGGAGAGTTAGGGGACGGACACCAAGTGTGACTGCCTTAGTTTTACGAGCATTGCGTCGTCGTAATTTACGTCCTGGTTGTTCAAACCAGGTACGCACTCGACGTTGCCAGTCCTTACGGAAATGATTGGCATGAAGGACTAAAATATAACCATCATATCAAATAGTCCCACCAATGGTAATAGTCACTTACCATTATTATGCGCGAAACCCATTACGTTTTGCACTATTACAAACGTATGTCAGCATGTATTCGCAGAAACTGAGGGAAGGTATCGGATATCCAAGCACACAATCCACCGATCAAAGTGGTTCATATCCATGCTAAGAGAATGGGATCGCCGTTCTTCATGACTCGTCCCAACGCAGCACAACTACAAGCATCGATGAACGTACACACCTTGCCGAAGACTTGAAGACTGTCAGCACAAGATAGTGCGGTACTACTGTTCAGAGTAGTGGGATGTGCAGGACAACCCCTTGCATTTCAAGCAGCGCTCAAACCTTATTAGCCACATTGTAACGAACGTGACTCACCGTCACGTGCGACCTTGACCTTGACCCCTTGCTCGCCTAATTCAATATATTGATGATAGTCAATTGATATCTTGTAAATATCATTGCCCTCCGGGGCAGATCTGGGCCCAGACTGATCCCCATCCATTGTTTCAAGAGAGGAGGATACTTATTAGGGTGAATTACACAAGACTGATTGCTACACCACCAGAACTCTTGCCAGGGTTTCCCTGACAAAGTGCAATGCTAGAGTTGATTTCTAGCTCAGTTAAGTTTGATAGAAATAGGATTCAGCCCATCCAGTCATCATGTGCAACCTGACTTCAAATCACTTTAAAGTTTATTCCCAAACACTGATATGATTGGGGTAGTAAAGTTTGGTTTGAATAAATGGTTCAGAACCAAGAACTGCTGAACTGAACCCTAGGTTTGGGTTTGGTCCATGGTTCAGGCATTTTTGTTGTTGCCCAAACTGAGTTCAAACAGGTTCAAACCAATGAACCTTCACACCACCACCACCACCACCACCACCACCTCTCCTCTCCTCCTCCTCCACAGCCACACCACTCAAGGCAGGACCCAAGTAACTTGTCAACACTTTGTCTAGCCCCTCCCTTGAGTGTCCACCTCCAGCATTACCCCCTTGCCCCCCTGCATATATGACAAGTGCAGGGGATCAATTGGTTCACAGTTCAAGCTCTAAAATTGCAGGTTCAGTTTGGGGTTCAGACAAAAGTGTCTGAGAACCAAGCCAAACCAAACTTACCATCCCTAGATATGATCTATTAATATATCAGTGTATGGCAGTAATACTGCATTATTTTTCCCCCTTTGCTTCTAGGTCATCATATATGGGGATATTCATTGTATTAAAGATGGGCCTGTTTGGATGCCCTGCTTAGTGCCAAAGTATCTGTTTACAGCACTTATGTTGGTGCTGGGATGATTGACTCAAGGCCATTCCTATGCTCTGGCTTTCTGTCCACCTACATTTTTGGTGGAGAAAGCCAGGCTGGAGTGTGGGTTTCGAACAGGCCATACATTATTACATATTCTGTTAATATGACAAGCTATGATTTCACATCCTATCAATGTGTCCAATTAATCAGTAAGTAATAGTTCTTTCAAACAAGAAAACGTTAAAAAAAAAAAGGTTCTAGACCCCAACTCAAAAATGTCAGTGGCTGAAGGCCCTAAAATCAAGTAGAATACCATATCATACTCTACCATACTTTTATGCCAAAATTTGTCTAAGACCCCAGTTGTGTAGTTCTATTATTATATGACTTATACTGAGGACTTATGGGCAGTATTATAATGAGATCATAAATGTGAACAACTTTACAAATCCTTGTAACAAGCAGCATGCTGTCATCAACTAAGCTATTACTACATTAACTTACACTCTTGAATACTTTACTCTTGTTATCTGACAAATTGTGTTCCCTCAACCTCGTTTCATAGAAGATCTGACAGCAGATAGCTTGGGATTGACATTAGCAATGATTGAATTAGTGATTATTGCTTTGGGTATACCTACTGTATTGCAATCTGCTCTGCTTCATCAGGAAAAACCATTTTGCTATATAGCTAAGCATGTTTCTATGGCTTCTATAACAGCTATAGCATTACTATAATGGTCAAAAAATTTCTATAATAGATATCATAACTGCTATGGTAGCTATAGCAGCTATAGTAGCCATAATGGCTTGTTTCTATCTATGGGAACTTTGTTCTGATGGTGATGAAAACACTATTATTACTCAATAAATGGTTTGGCATATATATTAGCCTGCTTATCTATGTAATAAAAGTCTATCACATATATCCCAAATATTGTCTGTATATTTCAGCAACCAGGCATTGCTATAATAGATGCTATAGAAGCTATAATAGCTTGTTGTTTTCCATGAGACATTTTTCTGGTGGTAATGAGAATGCTCTTATTATTCATACAATGGTTTGTTATGCAGGTAAATTAGTCTCATGGTTTTATAAAATCTATCACAAATATTCAATTGTACAGATACTAAAGAACACACTTCAGTCACCCCCAAAACATAAGCATTTAGCTTCAACTATCTGTGTAAATGTATAAAGCTAAGAGCTTGTTTTTCCTGGTATCATCCCAAGTGCTCCAGCAAGGATGGGATCATCCCAGAAGCGGAATAATACCACCCTTCTGGGATTTTCCCATGGTATCAGACCATGTACCATAGTGGGATTATCCCTCAGATGGGATAATCCCAATAACCTGTCACATGTCACATGGTATCAGGGGGATTGGTGCTAATACTAACATGTGAGAATGCTGGGCCAACTAGTGAAGATATTTCCAGTCTTTTCCACCTGAATAATGGTACTTTAGCCCAATATAATCAAGACTATTTTGAAATATATGAGTTACAAGTTCCTCATTGTAGCTTACTGCAAATTTGGGGAGAAGCATTCCCTTTTTTTTAAATGTGGAACATTATCAATTTCTAGATATAATCAATTGCAGGAACCATACACTAGAAAGATGCTGTTGTCCTTGCTGATAGATGTGATATGTGAGTTCTGCTTTTTTGCAAGGTTTATTATACCCTTAACTGAAGTAAAAACTAGGAAACACAACACAAATGCTGTGACAACAAAGTAATCTGCAGAAGGACATCGAATATTAGATTTACACTAGATCTGGCATATTCTGTGAGGAAAATCCTGACATTGTAGAAAGTAAAACATAGTAAAAAGAAACATAAAGTCATGTTCTTGCAAAAACATGAATTTACCACTTTTGTGGCACTACCAAGGTATTTGATACCTTATATTGTACATTCTCTGAGAGTGGTTCCTGGGGGCTGCTGGCTGAAGGTCTATGGGGAGAGGGGGATGCTTGCTATGTACAGTATAATACACAAGATCTCCATTTTGATACTCCTACACTAGATGACTTGAGTGTGAGGATTAATTAGGCACTGCTTAGGTATTTAATACCTTGAGTTGTGCCATTTCTGGGAGCTACCAGCTGAAGGTCTAAGGGGTGACTGGTGCCTATATGCTGACTGTGTATAGTACAGTATCTAAGTCCACAAAGAATCTGAGTGCTGTAAAGGTATTCTTTTTTTAGATTCTTGAGAAATTGAAATGAATCCGGAAAATATTTTTTCATGCCAAGTAAGGTTTCTGCCAACATTCTCTGTCTCTCATATGATAGTGATGCTGTCTCACACCACTCTTTTTGGATTATCATTTTTATGGCAATATGTAGAACTCAGGTAATTTCCTTCAAAACTGATTCTGACCATTGACATTGCCCAACTTTTGATTTTTTTTACTGAGGATCATCCCACACTGATCTGGACAAATCCCTGAAATAGGGTGTGATCATCCCAGTTAAATCTGTACATGTCCCCACGTAACATGGGGTTACCCACTTCTCACATGGACAAATACCAGAAGGGGGTGGGATCATCCCAGTTCAATATGGACAAATACCATAAAGGGATGGGATGATCCCAGCTCAATGTGGACAAATACCACAAGAGGATGGGATAATCCCAAGCCAATCTGGGATGATCCCAAACCAATCTGGGAAAATCCCAGTTAAGCATGGACAAATACCAAAAGAGGATGGGATGATCCCAATTGAATCTGGGAAAATCCCAGTAAGAGATGGGATGATCCCAGTTGAACATGGACAAATACCAAAATAGGATGGGATGATCCCAATTGAATCTGGGAAAATCCCAGCAAGAGATGGGATGATACCAGTTTAACATGGACAAATACCAAAATAGGATGGGATGATCCCAATTGAATCTGGGAAAATCCCAGCAAGAGATAGGATGATCCCAGTTAAACATGGACAAATACCAAATGAGATGGGACAATCCCAGCTCAACATGGACAGATACCAAAAGAGGATGGGATGATCCCAATCTACTCTGGGAAAATCCCAGCCAGAGATGGGATGATCCCAGCTCAACATGGACAAATACCAAAAGAGGATGGGATGATCCCAAATCAATCTGGGAAAATCTCAGTTCAACATGGACAAATACCAAGGGGGGATAGGGTCATCTCAAACCAATCTGGGAAAATCCCAGCAAAAAAGGGGATGATCCCAGTTAAATGTGGACAAATACCAAATGGGATGGGATCATCACAATTTGATATGGACCAATGCCTGAAGGGTAAAGCATCATCCCAAACCAGCCAAGGAAAGTCTTGGAAAGAGATGGGATCATTCCAGTTCAATCTGATCTAGAAAAATCTCCAAATTACATAGGATCATCTCACTACATCACAGACAAATCCAAGCAGGGGACAAGATCACCCTGAGTCAGAATAGGACAGGGAGATCCCACAACAGGAACAGAATTATCGAATAGCATGCTTAGGCTGCTGGTGACTCAGCATGACAGGGGAAAATACTCCTGAAATGCACTAAGGTTATTCTGTAACATATAATCATAGGTAAGTTCCCAGCAGCTTAAAATATTATTGTCCTTTTCCAGCAGTTTCCATTTTTTACATGTTGCAGTATTTTGTTTGTAAACCAACTATTATGTTATGGTAGGACCTGGATGAACCTAAGGTTGAACTGGGACAGTGATTCAGAGTAGCCCTCACGTAGGTTCATCCCAAGTCACATGAAATTGCATAAGCATGCAGAGCACACCTTTCAGCCATTTTTGTTTTCACAAAAATTTATAATCAATTGTATGCGTGGGGACATATAGTGGATAAAATGGGTGTTGGCTTGTGGATGCTGGGCTGCCACAAAGAGCCAGCAATTTGTCTCATGCAAGACATGTTCTGCCTTTGACAATGATGCAGCAGAGGGAAGGATAATGAATATGTAGTACTTACTCGGACTGGTATCTTTGTGCATTTTTCAGTTCAGGCACTTGGATAAAGCTGCACAATTCAAAAAAATATCATATCTTTTGGATCAGCACATTAAATGGATTTGTGACATATCTTTG